AAGCTTAGACTGATGACAGAAAACACTGTCGGAACTTACCAGGAGAGGAAGACCACTCCGGTACCCCATTCCTGGCCGTCAGCTCCCCGTCCCGCTCCTCCTGCACTAAGACGACAGAAAGAGAGACACTCAGTAAAACGTAAACAGAACACTAAGTGAAATTGACTACGCTTACAACGAGGAGGAGAGCTCGCTGCGAAGTACCTCCCCCGCCCGCTCCAGGTGTTGGCCGCGCTCCTCCTCCGCCTCCCGCTCCTGGGAGGACACTCGACTCATCCTCGTTGACACTCGACACTCGACTCATCCTCAGAATTCCCAACATCGATTTCAAATTCCGACCACACTCTTCCGCTCACGCTCCGGCGCTGCTCTCAACTGATAACGCTACCGGCAGGCCCACTCTCATCGGAGGCATATCCGTCCTCTCATTCAACAGGGCCATCTCAATGTCCTCCCCGCTCCCTTCTGAAGACGGCAGGCTTATCACTGTACACCTCAATTATCTCCGCGAGCAAATTCGACTTATCGCATTATATGCGCCCACACAATTCTACGAGCGTCGAACTTGGTGGTCCACCACGCTCGTTCCGGCACTGGAAACTCCCACCGCTGCCTCCGCGACCATGCTCGTTGGAGACTTCAACTCGGTCACCCTTCCCATTGACAGGAACCGGCCCCTCAAAGATTACGAAGGCCGTGAAGGAGCTTCCTTCGCCAAACTCATGGATTCTCACTCGCTGGTCGATACATTCCGATAACTTTTTCCCACACCTGCCAACGTCTTCTCCTTCTATGGCAGGCAACGCCTGAACTCAGCGTCCCCGCCGACCTCTTCCCGTCTAGACAGAATTTATATCTCCCGAGCCTTCCTCCCCCGTCTCACTGCTAGCCCATACATTCAAACCCGCACGTCAATCACAGATCATTTGTATGCCCCTCTCTGCTCGCTCTGTTTCACCAACCCCACTGTTGCCCCCCGGCCCTGGCGACTCCGCCAACATCTACTTATGCGACCCCATGCCGCACAAATCGTCGATGCCGCCCTTACAGCCTTCCCCTCCTCCCCTTCCCCGGAATCCTGGGACAGATGGAAGCTCGACCTCACCCTTAGCTTTAAAAGATTCTCCAACCTGGAAAGGCGTCGTGTCGATGGCACGATCGCGCACCTAGAGCGCACCATTGGCTCTCTACAATCACAAGCTGCATACACGCCCTTGGACCAGAACGATTCTTCTCGCCTCAGCAAAGCACAACTCCACTTGGCCAGATACGAAGCCTCGAAAGCCTCCGAGATTGCGCTTAAGGCCAAATTGAAAGTGGAAGGGCACAGAGAAATGGGTGTCTCCTCCCTCCTCTCCGGACTCAACTCGCAAATCAAAGGCTCGATCATCAACTCATTGACCCTACCTAACGGGCAGACGACCTCGGACCTGGCCACCATGACTAGTATGTGCTCTAACTTCTTCCGGACACTCTATAGCGGGAGCAACCAAGTCACCCCTAACCCTTCTTTCTGGCAGCATATCCCTTCCTCATCCATCCCAAACCCCTTATTCCTCCAGCTTAGCGCTCCCCTTTCCCTATCCGAAATCGGAAAAGCACTCCTCTCTCTTTCACGAGGGAAAACCCCAGGCCCAGACGGTCTCCTAGGGGAGCTCTTTCGACAATTCTCCCCGCGCTTCGCACCGGCCTTCCACTCCCTACTCTCACCACCACAGCCACTCTCCTGCCTCCCTCCGTCCATGTTGACCGGACGAACGGTCCTTATCCCCAAAAGGGGGGATTCTTCGCTAGTGGAAAATTTCCGCCCCATTACCCTAATGAACGCGGATTACAAGGTACTCGCGCTATGCCTTGCTAACCGTCTTCAGCTCGTCCTCCCCCAACTCATCCACCCATCCCAAACTGCCTTCATCAAACACAGGAAAATCGGTGATACCATTAACGATACCTTGGACATCATGGACTGGGCGACCTATTCCTCGGCGCCCCTTCTCGCTCTCACTGTGGACTTTCGCAAAGCATACGACCTCGTCGACAGGCCTTTCCTCCTCCACGCCTTATCAGTTCTGGGACTCCCCACATCCTTCATCCACTGGGTTCGATTAATGCATTCCAACACGTGTACACGTATCTCGGTTAATAACATGCACGGCCCCACCTTCCCCGTCCGCACTGGTGTCCGTCAGGGCTGCCCACTGGCTCCCCTGCTCTTCGTTTGCGTCATGGAGATCTTTCACCGCTACACGTCCCTCTTCTTTCCTGGCTTCGCCTTGTCCCACGCACAGCGCCGTCTTATGGCGTGCTATGCAGACGACGTCACTCTCTTCCTCACCTCAGATACAGAGCTCGGACTTGCTGTAATGCTGCTCGGTGTCTTTGGATCGGTCTCCGGAGAAATCCCCAACTGGAGCAAATGCTCCATAATTCCATTCAATATTCCCCCTACTGACCTCGTGCACGCCGGGAGCATACCTATCCGAGCTCCCAATGAGGCAGAACGCATCCTCGGAATTTACGTTGAGCGCCTACACCCTGGCTCCACCACCTGGAACAAGGCTCTCGCCCGCATACAAAGCACCGCCAAGTGTCTAGCAGCACTACACGCCACTGTCACGTGTCGCAAATCCCTCTCCTCGATCTTTCTAAACTCTGTCATCTCCTTTCCCGGACGCTTTCAACCCGCCCCTTCAGACACAATCAAGCGCCTAGACGTGTCAGTTGGGAACTTCCTTTCATCCTCGAAACACAAGCTAGACGGCCTCGCACAACGCCTCATTTCCAAGGCCCTCCTGTACAATTCCCTCCAAGACGGCGGGGTCGGGGCGATTGCCCCGTCTATACAAGTCAAAGCCCTGGCTATTCAGCGCGCCCTGCGCAGATTCGGACCAACCCCCTCTGAGGAAGTAGCACGTACCCTGACCCCGTTCCCCTTCGGGCTACATGGACTACTCTCCCATAAAGCCATCCTCGAACGAGATTGGCTCCCTACATTCATCCCCCCGCGGACACTGGACGAACTTAAAGCCCTCCTCTCTCTCCCCTTGGTCATTCATAAGCCCCCCCTACGCATGCAGTGCATCCTCACCGAACCTATCGCCTTCAACCGCTTTCTCCTCAAACCCGACGAACGGCCTTTTGGCACCCGCCAACACGAACGCTTCCTTTTTACAAGGCAGCTCCGCATCGGACACCTTGTCCGTATCACCAATTTTGATGTCAGCCCCGTCTCTGCAGACGAGTTTTGCTCCCAAATCCCGGAGGAGTTCCATGAAGACGCAACACGCATCCTCCCAGACCTTATCAAGGCTATCAAACCTCCCTGGTGGGCCGCCCTCCGAACCCCACATGCCTCTTATGCCTCTCCAGGTGAATGGTTCATGCTTTCAGACGACCACTATTCCATCTCTCATCTCGCCCTCCAAGTCGTCGCTTACATTCCCCCTGCCTCCGTTTCGGCCACTGTCCACTCCGTCTCGCCAAATCGTCGCATCGCCCGCAACCCAACAAACACCGGACTCTTCCGTTTACAAGACCTCATCGAGGTGCACGTCAGGGATTGGTGGCTCGCAGGGCCACTTCACACAGGGGCAGGGTTAGGAGCTAGGATTGGACTTCTACAGGACGGCACCCCCAGCAACGCCGACATCCGCCGTCTCCTGTACTCAGCACAACCGCTAACTCACCACAGCCGATGGACCCGCGATCTCACCCTTCCTCCTCCTCCTCTCCCAGGCCTTAAGGACGCATTTCTCAAGGACCAGCCGAGCCGTCAGCGGGACATCCTTTTCAGACTCTTCACGCTCACCCTTCCCTCTGGATCACGCTTCCAGTATTTTGACGATCGAGGGGTTTGCCCTCGATGCCCAGCTGCCGTCGTCGAGACACTGCCACATATATTCTTTGAATGCTCCTCCGCCGGAAACGTCATCTCGGCTCTTCGCACAGTCGCTGACCGCCATCTAGGACAAACCACCACAGCCGAACACATCTTCTTCCCGATACAGTCACGGGTGGGACAGTCCCCCCCATGGAGCCTACTAGTGGGAGCTGCAGTTAAGACACTGTGGAATGCTCGCTGCGACCACAAGTACCGAAACTCCTCCTCCTTGAGCTTCGAGATACTACAGCTGGTATTAGCCCAATTTCTCATCGCTTTCAAAATCTACATTCGGAGAAGCAGACGCCAATCTACCAAGAAGAGACAACGTACATCCTCCAGCATCAAGCGCGCACAAAAACTTCGCTTCCTCCTCTTCGACAGGAGCGGTACACCCTCTATTCACCCCGACCTCAGAGCCTCATGGCTTATGGGAAACCCGTTCCGACCCCCGTAAATGGCTACCTGCATAGAGTGTCTCCCCAGTCTGCTGGTGGTTGTCCTTTAGGACAAAGAAATGACGTGTGTTCCACGTGCTCCTTATAGGATGTTTCTAGATAGCTCTATGCTACTATTCTTTGTAAATTGATTACGATCAATATATAACCTTAACCTTAACCTCCGCCTCCCGCTCCTGCTTCACGAATAGCACGAAACTCGAAGTTAGTAATCTTGGAAAAGTAGAAACAAACGAAAGGGGACCATGCTTACCTGGAAAAGGAGAGCGTTTCTTCTTCCTCCCGCTGTTGCTATGTCCTCCTCCCCCTGCCGCTCCTGCTTCACAAATCCACGAAACTCGAAGTTAGAAATCTCGAAAACGAAGAAGCGAACGAAAGCGGACTCTGCTTACCAGGAGGAGAGCGATTTCTTCTTGACTTTTTTGACGGTGTTGTCACTTGCTCCTCCTTTTTCCTGCATCACCAAAACAACGAAACTCGAAGTTAGAAATCTTGAAAAAAGAAAAAAGACGGAATCGGACCGTGCTTACCAGAAGAGCGAGCGTTCTTCTCTTCTTGACGTCCCTTGACGCTCCCCATCCCGCTCCTTCTGCACTTAAACACAAAACGCGGAAGAGAAAATTAGTAAAACGGAAAAAAAATATAGCTGAAATTGACCAAACTCACCAAGAGAAGGAGAGTTCTCCCCGCGTGACTCCCTTGTTCGCCGTCAGCTCCCCATCCCGCTCCTTCTGCACTAAGACACAAGAAACGAAAGAGAAAATTAGTAAAGCGTAAAGAAAATTCTAGCTGAAATGGACCATACTCACCAAGAGAGGGAGAGCTCTCCCGTGGGACTCCCTTGCTCGCCGTCAACTCCCCATCCCGCTCCTTCTGCACTAAGACACCAGAAACGAAAGAGAAAATTAGTAAAGCGTAAAGAAAGCTGAAATGGACCATACTCACCAAGAGAGGGAGAGCTCTCCCCGCGTGACTCCCTTGCTCGCCGTCAGCTCCCCATCCCGCTCCTTCTGCACTAAGACACAAGAAACGAAAGAGAAAATTAGTAAAGCGTAAAGAAAATTCTAGCTGAAATGGACCATACTCACCAAGTGAGGGAGAGCTCTCCCCGTGGGACTCCCTTGCTCGCCGTCAACTCCCCATCCCGCTCCTTCTGCACTAAGACACAAGAAACGAAAGAGAAAATTAGTAAAGCGTAAAGAAAATTCTAGCTGAAATGGACCATACTCACCAAGAGAGGGAGAGCTCTCCCCGTGTGACTTCCTTGCTCGCCGTCAGCTCCCCATCCCGCTCCTTCTGCACTAAGACACAAGAAACAAAAGAGTAAATTAGTAAAGCGTAAAGAAAATTCTAGCTGAAATGGACCACACTCACCAAGTGAGGGAGAGCTCTCCCCGTGGGACTCCCTTGCTCGCCGTCAGCTCCCCATCCCGCTCCTTCTGCACTAAGACACAAGAAACGAAAGAGAATTAGTAAAGCGTAAAGAAAATTCTAGCTGAAATGGACCACACTCACTAAGTGAGGGAGAGCTCTCCCGTGGGACTCCCTTGCTCGCCGTCAGCTCCCCATCCCGCTCCTTCTGCACTAAGACACAAGAAACAAAAGAGTAAATTAGTAAAGCGTAAAGAAATTTCTAGCTGAAATGGACCATACTCACCAAGAGAGGGAGAGCTCTCCCCGTGTGACTTCCTTGCTCGCCGTCAGCTCCCCATCCCGCTCCTTCTGCACTAAGACACAAGAAACAAAAGAGTAAATTAGTAAAGCGTAAAGAAAATTCTAGCTGAAATGGACCACACTCACCAAGTGAGGGAGAGCTCTCCCCGTGGGTCTCCCTTGCTCGCCGTCAGCTCCCCATCCCGCTCCTTCTGCACTAAGACACAAGAAACGAAAGAGAAAATTAGTAAAGCGTAAAGAAAATTCTTGCTGAAATGGACCACACCCACCAAGTGAGGGAGAGCTCTCCCGTGGGACTCCCTTGCTCGCCGTCAGCTCCCCATCCCGCTCCTTCTGCACTAAGACACAAGAAACAAAAGAGTAAATTAGTAAAGCGTAAAGAAATTTCTAGCTGAAATGGACCATACTCACCAAGTGAGGGAGAGCTCTCCCCGTGGGACTCCCTTGCTCGCCGTCAACTCCCCATCCCGCTCCTTCTGCACTAAGACACAAGAAACGAAAGAGTAAATTAGTAAAGCGTAAAGAAAATTCTAGCTGAAATGGACCACACTCACCAAGTGAGGGAGAGCTCTCCCGTGGGACTCCCTTGCTCGCCGTCAGCTCCCCATCCCGCTCCTTCTGCACTAAGACACAAGAAACGAAAGAGAAAGTTAGTAAAAGAAAAACAAAACTAGCTGAAATTGACGATACTTACCACGAGAGGGAGACGGAAGGGCCAAGAAATGGGCCGCCATGCCAAAGCAGAAGTGTCGTCAGCCGCTCCTCATGCGCCGTGCGACGGATGCCTCTGTCCGCAGCCATGCGCGTGCGAAGGATGAAGCGGGGCGCCATGCGTCGGACGAGAGGCTCCCGAAGGTAGTATCATCTGCAGAGAGAAAGAGAGTAAGTTAGAGTCTCTCTTGGAAGAACGGAGAAAAACGTCGGCAGCAAGAATTTGCATGTACCTCCGCTCGGACAAAAAGATTGTGTCGTAGCGAACCCGAAGCTTAAGGGCCGATCCGCCATGCGCCGTTCGACGGGAGACGTAACGCCTTTTGACGGGAGACTGCTGCCGTCATGCGACGGGGGAAGCGTCGTGCAACGGTGGACCCGCGTCGACGAGAAGAACGTGATCTTGACTTGAAGGCGCTGTGCTTGAGGGCTCGGGGCTTGATGCCTTCAGTTGAGAATGCTTGAGATTGGTTGAAGGCCGTTGCCTGCAGGATGAAAGTGAATATGTTAGATCTTACCCAGAAAAAAAGTGATTATTGCAAAAGACGTGGGAAAGACGTGGTATTCGTTCTTACCTCAGCTTGAAGGAGTCTTAAGAAAGACTTGGCGCCCGCAGCGACGGGGGAAGTGCCCGTGTGGTCCTCAAAGCCATTGATTTGAAGATCGTCTTGTGATCGATCTCGCGGCGACGATTTCTCAGTGAAGATCTCGCGGCGACAATCTCTCGGTGAAGATGTCGCTATTCGTCATGCAGAGGTGAATATTCACCGTAGAGTTCTCGCGATGCAGTTCTTGTCGCGAAGAGTTCTCGCGATGTAATGCTCGCCGCGAAAAACGGGTCGTAGTACAAGGTTCCGGCCAAGGCTTGCAAGCAGCTCTCTAGACTCTCTACCCACCCACCCCACCCACGACTCTAGACTCTACGCTAACTCTACGCGCACCTACACGAACCTACACGGACTCTAAGACGCGCTGCTGCTTGCCTTGGCCATTCCCTTGTACTAGCTTGGGTGGATTCATGACGTAGCTTAGACTGCTCCGAGAGCTTGTCGCATGAAGTCCACAGGTACTAGCTCATCAAGATGGAGCTTATGGAGACGGAGCTCATGGGGACGAAGCTCCTCTAAAAAACCCTTCCGACGAAATAATTGAGAAGGTTGAAATCCGAGAATGAAGTGGACGATAGGAACTTGTAGTGCCTCTGATGGATGGAACGAAAGGGACGATCGAACAAGTTGGTTGAAAGGAGGAGTGTGTGTCGATGGAAACGACCATCCGTGTCGGAAACTTCTGGGTGCGGTGCGGGCTGCGCAAGCGGCGTGGCGCGTCTCAAAATGTTTGCGGTGCGGCGATCCAGGTTCGAAAAGTATGATATCAATCATCGATGATCCCCGCTCTGACTCAAGTTGCCGTTGGCGGTGAGGCGTGGCGCAACGCGGCGCGGACCTTCGCTGCTGCTACAGCGCGGGAAGAGGTGTGCAACTAGTTTGCAGGTTACAGGAAGCGACTTTATCCTGAACGGATGGTGGAGATGATAGCCACCACCGATGAATGGTGAAGATTCGTCACCATCAGGATGTGATATGACGTGATGGCTGCCGCCAACATAGAGATTCCCCGCCTAGGAAATGTCGGAGAACATTTTCCATGGGGACTTTCAAGGCGACCTGAATGTGTGCAGTGCATGTGGACTCCCCAAAGCTATTGCGTGTTTTGGTATATTACAGCCGCTGTTATTTGCTGAGTGCGGTGCGTCGCTATCAAGCGCGGGACCTCTGGTATGGTGCATTGGTGCCGTTAGAATACCAAGCTATTTTGCGAAAAAGTGAACGGGTGGCGGAGATCATTGCTGCCGCTGATGAATGGTGAAGATTTGGTGGAGCCGTGTGTTGGAGGGTGTGGTGTGGTGGCTGGCGCCGCCAAAGAGAACTTCCGCCTAGAAAATGTCAGAAAGCGTTCCTCCGATGAACTCAAACTCGAGACGGCCCAAATGTTCTCACTTGGAACGCGACACGACATCGTGAACAATTTCTATATGTACAGTTCAAGGATAGTAAAATTATGTAGCTTTGTTAGCGGTTTTCTACAAGCGGATCTGCTAAGGGCGTGTATCGCGGTGTTGTTTGACGGGCACTCTGATATTGGGCACAAAAGGATGGGGCTTTAGGAGGTGGTTGACGTGGCACATGTATTTTACATACATAGACCGACGATGAGTATTCGAGAAAAAATGTGCGTGAATTGCGGGATTGCGTGGAGTTGGGTACCAGATTTGTGAACGGAAGGTTCTGGTGCTCTCATTTTGTTCCTTGCGAACCTGACCGGGGCAGCTGAAAATGGCAAGTAGTGATTGAGAAAATATCACGCGAGCCAATAGAATTGCTGGATGACTTTCTCACCCTCATCTGTCCAGCTCATTCCCCTTCCAGCTCATCGCCAAGGCAGATCGAACATGTTGGTGTTCATTTCGCCAATTACTGCAGGTGCCTGGTGTTCACCCTTGTTGCCATAGCCTCTATCAGTCGTTCTATCCCGTCACGCTTCTATGTTAGCCACTTCCACCTTATAGTTCCTGAAGCCGCTTCGCACGTCTAGTAGCCGAACAGTATCGAATTATTAGTGTCGATTTGCGGATTTTATCATGCCGTCGCTTGATCAGCGTCGACTTGAGAGCGCGTCGGCGTTGCGACCTCAGTCGATCTCGTTAGGCAGGCGAATCGTAGTGCTCTAGTCTGAACCGTCGCGCAAGACATTAGAAACGGGGAACTCAATATCGAGCCGAAACGCGAGAGGGAGGGAGGCACGGGATGAACCTAAGTTGAAAGGCAGGCATTAGACCGGCAAGAGACGGCGAGGCAGGGCGGATAACGGAGAAGAGAGGTCCACAAGCTTGCTACACGCTCTCGTGAACCTCGGCTTTCGGCGAGCATGTTACATGCTCTCGCGTAACGGAGAACCTTATATCGAAACTCCATGCCGTGAAACCCCTCCCTTCCCCCCCTCCTCATCTCCCTCGCACATCTCTCCTCCCTCTCTCCTCATCTCCCCGCGCTCCCCTTGTTTCCTCCCCCTCCCTCTCCTCGCCTCCCCCCCGCTCTCACAACATCTCCCCCGTTCTCCCCTCATCAACCCCCGCCCTCCCCTCATTTCCCCCGTTCTCCCCTCATCTCCCCCCGATCTCCCCTCATCCCCCTCCGCTCTCCCCTAATCTCCCCCGCTCTCCCCTCACCCCCCCTCCGTCTCACCCTCATTCCCCTCCGCTCTCCCCTCATCTCCCCCGCCTTCCCCTCGTTTCCGCTTGATCCCTTCCCCTCTGCCCTCCCGTCATCTCTCCCTCCTCTCCCCTCATATTCCATTTGCCTTCCCGCATCCCCGCTCTTCCTCATCCCCCCCCCCCCCCCCCCCCTCTTATTCCCCCGCTCTCCCTCATCCCTCCCCCCCCCCCCCCGCTCTCCTCTCGTCTCTCTTCCCACTCACCCTCAGCTCTTCTCCTGTTTACCCCTCATACCCCCTCCGACCCCTTCTTCCTAACCCCATCCCTTATCGCCCTTCCCCACACACCCCTCATCTCCCCCACTCCCCTCCTTTGGCATGAGCTTGAAGCAGCATGGGAGAGCCTTACCAAGGTGCAACCTGGGTAACCCCTTCCCCCTCTGCACTCCCCCTCTGTTTCCCCTCCCCACTCACCCCTCATCTCCCCACCTCCCCTCCTTTGGCATGAGCTTGGAGCGGCATGGGACAGCATTCTTGGAGTTACCAAGGGGAACCCATGGCACTCCCTCAGCCCCTCAGCACTCCCCCTCCCTTATGTCCCCTAACTCACCTCTCCCCCTCTTCTTTGGCATGAGCTTGAAGCGGCATGGGCCAGCATTCTTGGAGTTACCGAGGGAAACCCATGGCACTCCCTTTGCCCCTCAGCACTCCCCCTCCCTTGTGCCCCCTAACTCACCTCTCCCCTTCTTCTTTGGCATGAGCTTGGAGCGGCATGGGACAGCATTCTTGGAGTTATCGAGAGAATCCATGGCAACCCCTTCACCCTCTGCACTCCCCCTCCCTTGTGTCCCCTAATTCACTCCTCACCTCCCCCCTCGTCTTCTTTGGCATGTGCGCGATGTGGCAAGGGACTGCGCTCTTGTTACCCAGGTGACAAGGCCTCTCCCAGGGCGGCTCTTTCTCCTGCTTTTCTATCAAGTGTAACATACGGTAGATACATCTGAAGCCCTAGGAGTGTTAAATGCTCATGAAGGCAATGCACCTGCTGTTCAGAAATATGCCTTTCTATGAACAAGCAACTGGCATCCAATGCAAGGGCTTTACGTTAATGTAAAACAGACACGACACCCACCACCGTCAAACGCAAGTTGCTAGAAAGGCATCCGTTCAGAGCCTAATAATATTGTGCAGTTGAATATCATTTGAAGTAGGTGGATTCAGGGTCGCCTTTCATCATGTCTGGATATGCCCGGACCCATTTTTCAAACTCCAAATACCTTGTTCTTCTCTCGGGCGGAGAAACTCCCTTCAGAAGTTTCCCCTCCTCACCATACCCATGCAGTGCAGTGGCAAATTCATGCACTTTCACACACCGATCGATCCGCCGAGCCTCATACTCCCGAACCGCAGCAGCCACGGCAGCAGGTTCGGCGAGCAGATCCTTAATTTCAGTAAGGCAGAGGCACAGCTGGTGTGCATCCTCGAAGGCAATCTGAGCTCCTTGGCCTGGACCAGGGTGCATGGCATGTGCAGCATCCCCCATAAGAACAACTCTGTTACCACACTTGGGGTCGCTCCAAGTATCTTTGGGAGGAGGCCGGTCCATCATCCACCGTTCGTAGATGTTACCGGAGTGGGTGCTGGTAACCACCTTGAGCATGGTATGCCAGGTGTCATGTGCTGAGGGGTCTGCCATGTTCTTGCTAATGTGGCACATCAAACGACCCTTCACACCTGGCTTGCCAAATCCACCGAAGGGTGTTAGTTCGAGCTTGGTCTTGAGGTGGCCATCAGGGTCAGCAGCACTAACCTGACATTGGGAAGATGGTTAGGGTAGCAAAAATTCTGAAAGTTGTGTACAAACAGTTGTTAACACAACGAAAGTGTGTGTGGTTGCTGAAACAATTTGGTGGTCTCGCAATGAAAGAATGCAGGATGGTTATGCCAGCATCAGTTGGGCAAGCACGTGCAAGCAAAGAGCGGAGGATAAAGCAGAATGATGTGGCATGGATGGGTTGGGCTGAGTTGAATTGGTTCAGGAGGAGATTCAGGAGATGGAGTGCGCAAAGTAGATGAAAAAGAGAGCGTTACTGTACCTGCCAATAAGTCTCCCCGTGGTGGTCATGGATAAAAAACAGCTGGTAACCCGTGATATTATCCCTGACAGTATTGACCGTTTGATTTTCTTGTTGGTACACTTCCCCGCTCAGCTGGTTTGGCACAAGCGCGTTCCAGGCAATCTGCTCCAGATACCGAGGCGAGTCGCCGATCATCTGATTTCGCACAGCTGATCGCACGCCATCCGCTGCGACCAGAATCTTCGCACGAACCACCACCAGCTCGCGCTGCTGTTCCACCGCACCCGCCTCATCCGCAGATTCAGCTCCTTCCAGATCAGCAAAGCTGGAACTATTTGCGTCAGCTTCGGGATTCGAACCCGCGACCTCGAGCACCACATCAACAGCTTCCACCTCTCCGTCGCCCACGCCATCACCGCTCTCCGATCCACCACCACCCCCCAGCAGGCTACTGCCAACACGCATTCCCGCGACGACGGGGTAATACGCCACGACACGATGTCCATGCATAATACTCTCGGGTTGCGTTAGAGACGAGGCAAGTACCTCTTGGGCTCGGGCCCACCACACGACTGTCTGCCCTTGCGGCGCCGATTCCCTCACAAACCAGCCATCGCGATTTTCGCTGGTTCCTTTCATAGCAGCATCGTTAGTGGCGGGTCCGCTGGTAGAAGCGTTGACCGATTCAGAACCTGTTATATCCGCCGGAAAATCTCGGTAACTTAACTTAGTTTTTCCGATTGGTGATCCGCACGCAATCAAAGCGTCGCCGAGCCCGGGCTTTAATCCTTCGAGTGCCTTGTAGCCGTTCGGAAACATGCCGAGAATCGTGCCGGTGCTGTTGTTCGATCGCACCGCGGCGGGCGCGGCCTCGAAAACGGCCGCCTCGATGCCGCGCGCCTGCAGGCCGGCGGCGAGCGCGAGCCCCGCGAGCCCGCCGCCCGCAATCGCCACGTCCACGTGGAATGACGGAGGCGGAAGCTCCTCCGCAACGGTCGAATTTGGCGCCGCGTTTTGCTCCGTGTGCGACGCGTTAGTGGCTGCTTGCGGATTGGAGGAGCTTCCCCGCGGCTGCGTGAGCCTAGTAATACTAATAATTGGAGAGCCGATAGTATCGGCGGTCATGCGTAAGGCAGTGCCTACTTTGTTGTCATAATGAGTGATCCCGGAGGCGAAATGGCGACGTCGCATCGTCATGCGACGACACTGATCCGTCGTTCCGAGTCGCAGGGTCCGAGTCGCGCATGTCACCGCCGTGGCGACACGAAGAGCAGAGAGTGGCACGGCAGGTGGGGCGAGAAGCGCAGCCATGGCTCTGACGTTCTGTTTCTAAGAAGGTGTGGGTAGGAGAATCTAGCTTGAAGGGGGGAGACTTAATGCTCCTATTTTGGTGGAAGAGAGAGGGGGAGCGAGTCCCACCTCCATGACGATCCCGGGCAGCACACATTTTCAGGTACTTCCGGGAAAGACACGCCGGTGAGGAGAAAGCTTAGGGAGACAGGAATCTCGTCAGGGAGGAGGGGAAGAGCGGAGCAGGCGTGGCTGGCAGGCACTGCCTGTCACAAAATCTCTCGCCATCCATGGCTTCTCTATTGTCAGCAATGCCTGCCATCCAAAAAGTCGGCAGCAAAAGACGGCCATAGATGTACTTAGGGGATTTGAGGTGCTGCGCTGCAGCTGGATAAGATGAGATTCTCTGAGATTACGTGGCTGTCAACGATTAGGAGACTATGCCAGAGTTTTCGGGCGCGCGGATCGCAGAACGGCCCTGTGAGGCCTGCGTTTCTCGCCTCGCATTGCGACGTTCCCAAGCCAAGCCGTGTTTGTAGCGGCGAAAGCTGCCGTACGATGTGCCAATGTTTCTAAGGGCGTGGAACATTTAGTCGACCACGCCGATTTATCGACCATTTGGTTGCATCTGGCGAAAGCGAAGGGTGTAACAGAGCTGCGAAGGGTGCGAAATTTCTAAGCTATTCTGCTCGCCAGCACGTGGGGCACCCAACAGAAACCACCCCCACTAAGCAGAAACGTTTGTTCCCACTTCAAGCATTCGAAAGGGGTGCGGGATATTGGGGAGAGCGGGAAATGAGTAGGACGTTAGGCAAAGACAACTAAGGGTAAATACTGGAAGTCAAACGATGTACCCTTTTTTAATGGATTAGTGTGAGGAGAGGATCTAAATACTTACGATAAATCCCAATGATTTTCGGTCAATTCAGGGTGACTACCATGCATGCCAGTCAATGGGGTTTCCTTAAATTCTTCGCAATCGCCAGGAACAACCATCCTTTTGACCATTGGGCGTGGTCGTTAAAATGTTCCACGCCCTAATGCGCTTGGAATGGTGAGATTCTAGCGGTGAAGGCGTGGCTTGTAATGCACGTTATGGAGGATTCTAGGGACCAACGTGCGCACGTGTCAATGGTGGTGGTGAGATGAGAAACTGGAGAGGGGGAGGGAGCATCTATCGGGATGAGACGAATGGGCGGGGCACCACACAGGCTGTCAAGATGGTATAGTAAGGGCGCGTAACTTTTTTCCGTTTCGGGCAAATGTCCGGACGGGGGCCCCAAATCGTCCGAACGGAGCTCCGTCCGGACGGTTGGGGATGTGGTACGGACGACGATGAGTCCGTACCCCTATTATGACACTTTTTTGCTCTTGCGAAAACTGCATTTTGAGCGAAACAGTAACGCTTATAACCCACCTCGTCAGCAAATCGGCCGCTTCGCATGCATGAAGTTGTGTCAGAAAAAAGCCGGGCTGTAGAGAGTTCGCTTTTTTGTAGTGCTGTGAGTCTGTGTGCCCGTTCGGACGATAGTGGAACTTCTGGAGGAAATGACGGACCGCCGTGTTTGCGCGTTTTCAATTCCTTTCGGCAGTGGCTTTGACAGCGACTCCCACCGCGCTCGCGTCCAATTCCCGCGGGCAGTTTAGATTGCTGTTTCCCGTTTTCCACGACCAAACGTACAGAAGGGAAATTATTAAGTCTACCTGGGTTCAGTATAGAGGCCAGTGGCAAAACTAAAACCCACTCGGACAACAAGCCATTTGGGAGGCATCAACCCTAAACACCTTGCCTCATGGTGTTTAGGGTTGATGCTCTCTACGTGGCATACCATCCATGAGGGTTTTATTTTTTTTGTCCCGAACTGCGCGTTCCCATGGACTCGACGAATATACGTTGAATACCTCGGAACAGAAACTTAATTTGTATTTGTGGACTCAAAAGGGGAAACGGAGAATTAATATGCCCCAAGGTATTCGACGCGAGCGCGGAGCGATGCGCTGTCAAAACCACTGCCCATTGGAATTGGAAACTCGAAAACACAGCGCTCCGTCATTTCCTCGGAACTTCTGTGTTGCCTTTCCGTCAGAACGTGGTTCTGGCGAGCAGGAAACCGAGTCGCCAGAACTGATAAAAAATGTGCTTCGCGCACCAATGACGTTGCAGGAGTTCCGGACGGTCCGAAATGCTGTCCGGACGACGTCAGGAGTGTAGAACGGACGATGAACAAGCAGAAAAGTGTCAGAACTCGTACGGACGATCGCGATGTCGCAAGGGGTCTCACGAACTAAAAAACGAAACTAGGCGAAATACATAACCCTACAAAAGTCCGTACGGGTCCTCCGTCCGGACGATGAAAAGTGAAAAAGTTACGCGCCCTAAGTGGTTGTGATGTGACAGTTGAAAGTACAGTACGCTTTATGAAGCTGCTTTCACTGTTAATCACTCTCCATCCTTAACGCATCGCTATAAAGTATATCTTTTATTTACATTCAATCTAACTTTCTTCCCGTGAACTTCTCCCATTCGATGCACAATCCGCCCTTGCTGGGCACCGTGTAGCCTGAATCAGTCAACTATGGCAGCTTTAAGAGCTTTTTTCTCAGACTGAACAATCCAGAATCACTTTACTTAAAAAAGGTGGACTCAGGATCGCCATCGATCTTGTCAGGGTAAGAGTACATCCACCTCTGGTTCGGAGAGAGCCCAATCTATGGGGAAGCTGATAATCATGATTCCCTTATTCTACTCTTCTGTAGCTGTATATACCAACATCTTCCCCCCCATGCTCCAGCTTGCTGGTTATTGTGCTGCTGCTGCTGTCTCACTTATGGTGACATCTTCATTGGAAGCTGCACTATCCTAGACTATGGGTTCAAATAAAACCCTGAGGGGAGCAGGTTTGAGGGTTCTTGATCCTGAGGCCGAGTCGAAGCATTAGTCTAGCGTTTTCATCTGCACAGGTACAGTACAGCACAGGAGGGATGACACACACACACAGAATTGTGAAGCAACAAGAAAGGTGTACAAATATAGATTTCCACCTAAGAGAGGACACGTCAGGCAAGAGGTATAGGAACACTACTTGAACCGAAGGGAAGCAGCACACACATCATAACACAAATGAAGACAGCATGCAGAAGCATGGAAAGGAACAAAATAGCGCAGATGAGGGGTACAGTGGATGGTGCAAACATACAGAGCAAGATTGCCCATGTCTGCAGTTTTTAGAAGTTTCAAAACTGCACGGGTACAGAAGATGGTGCAGACATACAGACCTAAGCTTGCCAAATGTGCATGCCCCACATCAAGCCTTGCAAAGTCCATTATTCTAAACCTCCCTACCTTCCAGAGTCTGTCGTTGAGGTAATGCATGAGGTCGACACCTGTGCCCTTGTTGATCTTGCGGTGCCCTCACAAGGAGTTTGCATAATAGCATCCAGACTTCAGGCACCATCCATAGTCCATATTCATCGGTCAAACCACCCGCACCTTTCAGAGTCCATCGTTGAGGTAATGCATTGAGATCAACACCAATGCCCTTGTTGATCTTGCGACGGCCTCAAAAGGTTCTTTGCAAAATCACAGGCACCTTCCAGAATCCAAATTCTCCCAGTCAATCCACCCGTGCCGCACCCTACCTTCCAAAGACCGTCGTTGAGGTAATGCATGAGGTCGACACCTATGCCCTTGTTGATCTTGCGACTGAGTCATTACGGAAAATAGCGCACGGCAAACACAGCATAGGAGCGGGGAGGGAAAGATAGAGCATGAAATGCGGGTAAACGCATGAGGTCAACACCAATGCCCTTGTTGATCTTGCGACTGAGTAGCGGGGAGAAAAACAAGGAATGTGGGTAAATGCATGGCAACGCGCCATTGGTTTTGGGAACAAACCAAGGCACCAGGATTATGCGCGGCAAACACGGCACCGGCGGGAAGGAGTGAGACAGAGAGGGCATGGAATGCATGAAGCGGACACGATAAATCTCTAGCTGATGTTCTAATTGCTAGCCGACACACATGAGGGAGAATATGGTACAGAGGAGCATGACGCATGGGAGCATCACACATAGGAGAGCGTGGGGTTAACAAGACGCTATGATTCTCACATGCCATCCCATGCCTCTCTCTCACATGTCATCCCATGCCTCTCTCTCACATGTCATCCCATGCCTCTCTCTCACATGTCATCCCATGCCCCTCTCACACGCCATGCCATGCCATGCCTCTTACATCCCATCCCATGCGACTCTCTCTCTCTCCCTCACATGTCATCCGATGACATCTTGGTGTAACCAATCGCTTGCGTACGGACACACATCATGCCTCACATGCCCTCCTCACATGCCATCACACGCCATTCCATCCCCTCTCCCTCACATGTCATCTGACGACATCTTGGTGTATCCAATGGCTAGAGCGTTCTCCTTACCTTCCCATGCCTCTCACATGCCCTAAAATGCCCCCACGTCGTCCCCTCTCCCTCACATGTCATCTGACGACATCTTGGTGTATCCAATGGCTAGCGCGTTCTCCTTGCACTCTGCAGATATAGCTGCTTGGGTACGGACACACATCATGCCTCACATGCCCTCCTCACATGCCATCACACGCCATTCCATCCCCTCTCCCTCACATGTCATCTGACGACATCTTGGTGTATCCAATGGCTAGAGCGTTCTCCTTACCTTCCCATGCCTCTCACATGCCCTAAAATGCCCCCACGTCGTCCCCTCTCCCTCACATGTCATCTGACGACATCTTGGTGTATCCAATGGCTAGCGCGTTCTCCTTGCACTCTGCAGATATAGCTGCTTGGGTACGGACACACATCATGCCTCACATGCCCTCCTCACATGCCATCACACGCCATTCCATCCCCTCTCCCTCACATGTCATCTGACGACATCTTGGTGTATCCAATGGCTAGAGCGTTCTCCTTACCTTCCCATGCCTCTCACATGCCCTAAAATGCCCCCACGTCGTCCCCTCTCCCTCACATGTCATCTGACGACATCTTGGTGTATCCAATGGCTAGCGCGTTCTCCTTGCACTCTGCAGATATAGCTGCTTGGGTACGGACACACATCATGCCTCACATGCCCTCCTCACATGCCATCACACGCCATTCCATCCCCTCTCCCTCACATGTCATCTGACGACATCTTGGTGTATCCAATGGCTAGAGCGTTCTCCTTACCTTCCCATGCCTCTCACATGCCCTAAAATGCCCCCACGTCGTCCCCTCTCCCTCACATGTCATCTGACGACATCTTGGTGTATCCAATGGCTAGCGCGTTCTCCTTGCACTCTGCAGATATAGCTGCTTGGGTACGGACACACATCATGCCTCACATGCCCTCCTCACATGCCATCACACGCCATTCCATCCCCTCTCCCTCACATGTCATCTGACGACATCTTGGTGTATCCAATGGCTAGAGCGTTCTCCTTACCTTCCCATGCCTCTCACATGCCCTAAAATGCCCCCACGTCGTCCCCTCTCCCTCACATGTCATCTGACGACATCTTGGTGTATCCAATGGCTAGCGCGTTCTCCTTGCCCTCTGCGAATATGGCCTGGCAGGAAAGCAGTGCATGAGGGCATGAATCGTGGAATTGTACAACTCTACACAAGCGGCTGGTAAGGGAATGGTGCTGGTGAATCCAATGGTAGGGCAGAGAGGCAGCACCGCACCGCAGCACAAAAGGAGGTGGTGCGTGGAGGTTGAGGGCTCTCGGTAGCAGCACAACAGCACAGGCTGGTAAGGGGACTGCATTGGTGTTTTTAGTGGCTAGAGCGATTTCAATGTCCCACTCACCACCGGGGAGTCTGCTGGAATGCCGTCGTCCAACTTCCCACCACGCCACGGCACATGATGCCGGCTCCTGATGTCAGCCACGCCACGGCACATGATGCCGGCTCCTCTTGACATCACAAACCAATGCTCTCCACGACGATAAACAGGTGTACCAGGCTCGCTCACTCACCACCGGGGAGTCTGCTGGGATTCCGTCGTCCATCTTCCCACCAGGCGAGGTGAGTCCCGGACACATGATGTTGGCGCCTGACATCACAAACTTGATGGCGCCTCTATCCACCTGCATCTTGCGCATCATATCCGGATCTGGGGAGGAGGGGAGATGGGGGAGAGAATGGGGTGTGGATGGTGTTCAATTGGAGGAGAATGGGGACACATGATGTTGGCGCCTGACATCACAAACTTGATGGCGCCTCTATCCACCTGCATCTTCCGCCGGGTGTGGTGGTGTTGTTGGTGAATGGATGCGGGCGGGGTGATGCGGAAGGAAAAAAGGAAAAGAAAAGGGCCAAAGGATGAAAAGGGTAAACTCGCCTGATCGCGCCTCTATCCACCTGCATCTTGCGGATCATGTCTGGGTCTGGTGGTTTGGGGAAGAGAAGAAGACGAATGGGTGGGTGAGTGGGGGTAAAGACAATGAGGTAGAAGAGGTTAGATATTTGTACGCAGGCGGGAGATGCGGCCATCCTTAATTGGTCATGCGGCGTGGATATGGTTTTTGCGCTGAATAGGAAGTGATTGGGTTAGGTAATCCGCTTACATTGGTGCAGCAGGCGAAGTGTGGGCATGAAGGGGCCGTCCCTGACGTTGAAGAAAAGCGGGACGCCGTTCATCACCACTATGCTCACATGGTTGGGACTGCAAATGGGAACGTTGATAGGGGGTAATGCACAGCACACAAGAAGGGGAGGAGCGGACAGGAAGCGTGGGCATGAATGGGGGGGGTGAAGATCAGATGGGTATTAAAAAAAAAAAGTAAATTCAAACGACACTCGACGACAGCTATGGTGACATAGTTGAAACTGCAACACCAAAAACATGATTGTAACAGTCAGTAATGCAAATGACGGAGGGAGGGAGGATTTTTTAGGTGATGTACATATTCAGCGACCACGGTGGGTTTGTTTTGAGTAGACTCAAAACACGGCTCATTTTGAGTCGACGTAAAACAAATGAAGGAGGGAGGGAGGATTTCCCGGGTGATGTATGCACGCACCATTTAGCGACAACGATGGGTGATTTCTTGGGCAGCAGGTCTTCCAGAACTGGGTCTAGACTCGGGTACTGAGAAAAAGAAGGGGGAGAGGGGGGGGGGGGGGGGGGGGGGGTCAAAGAACAGTATAGAAGAGAGACGGGCACATGGGGCGCATAGGGCGCATGGGGAATCTAGCATTGATCCACCTCACATTCACTTCTTGGGCAGCATGTTTTCCAAAACTGGATGTCGTGACACATGACACGTGTAGGGTACTACCTTACACGTCTCACAGTCACTTGTGGATTCTTTAGTTCTCCCCCCTCCCAGAGAAAGCGCTCACCTCCTCGGCTATGGATTGCCGAATCTTGCGCTGAACAGACGCCTTGAGCTGATTCTGCCCTGCTACTTCCTCGTTGGAGAATCTGAGCAGGGAGAGAGTGACGGGGGGTACGTACAAAGGGGCGGAGAGGGGGGTAGGGTAGCAGAGGTGGGGAGCGGAGGTGGGGGGAGAAGGAGGGACGACAGGGCGTGCTGAACCGACGCCTTGAGCTGATTCTGCCCTGCTACCTCCTCGTTGGAGAATCTGAGGGGGAAGATGGAGGTGAGGAAAGAGGGCAAAGGAGAGAGGAGGGAGGGAGGGCAAAAGGGGGAGGAAGGAGGGGGAAAAAGGGTGTGAAGGGACAGGCCGCGTTGAACAGACGAAGGCACGGGAACAAGGAGGGATGAAGGAGATGGGGGGTCGGGGGGAGGAAGGGGTTGTTGGAAGAGGGGGGGGGGGGGGGGTGGTGAGGGCGTGAGGTTTCAGCCACGGAAACAAGGGGGGAAGAAGGCGGCGCGACTATTAAAAAGCGCTTCGGCCGAAAAGTGTCTGAGGCGAATCTATGCAGCATTCGTGGATCGGCGAAATTTATGGAGGGCGTACTTTTTGAACATGGCGAGCCGCGGATGCGAGTCGACGCGGAGCGCGCGGAGTCGCTGGATGCTGACACGTGTAAGGTACTAGCGTCGAAGTTTCTGTAGATTCTTTATAAACGGCTTAGATCCTCGCGAAGACTGGACGACGCTGGAAGGAACGCTGGGGAGCCTAAGGGCGACTTGGTTTTCCAACTGGGATAAATCTTGGAAGAGTCCACTTTTGGGTTGGGGAGCGTCATACGCGTTAGAATTCAATGATCTAAACCAGCTAATGTTGGATGGCACAATGGAGTCACATTTTCATCTAAACCCTTTCGCAATTTACTGTACTGTTTCTGTAAGCTTCAAAACATTTGAAATGTCGATCCACCATGGATTGAGCGAGGAAATGCTGAATCTTAGTACCACCGATTAGGGTTTCCTGTACTCGCTATGAACCGTCCGTCCTTCAGGCCGCGGCCGGTGGACATCAATAAGAAGCTCGCGATCGTCCGATCGACGGACGAGCTGAACGCGGAGGACGAGGGCGTATCGAGGACCGTCCATCATGGCCACATCGCTCTCGATGCCGAAAACGAGCAGGTCTAGACCGTTGGATTCACTCGAAACCCTAAAATGCAACCCTCTCGGCATTCCCTGAATCGTTGACTAGATTTTGCACAGCTCCGCTATGTATAGACCGATGAGCGTCAGTCAACGGTAATATTCGAATTTTTCCATCACAGATCTGACGTGTACTTTCCGTCGACATTTCGTGCCCGTCCGTGTCATGTCGTGCCGACGTGGCAGATCCTGCCGGCACCGTCGAAGAAGGGACCGTCCGTGGAGATCCCGACGCCGCACTGCGGCGTGGTCGAAGCGTACGACAAGCTCTACCCGGCGAACTTTCGCCAACCGTCGTCGTACATTCGCAGCAAGCATGGTGGGGGATTCCTGCTTCGTGCTGTCGTGCTGTCGTGCCGTCGTGCTGTGGTGCTGTTGTGCTATCGTGCTGCTCTGCTGCCGTGCTGCTCTGCTGTCATGCTCTGTGATGTTCTTATCCCCATGTCTTCTCTCCGATGCTACTTATGGTTCTTATCTCCTCCGTGATATCCGCCGTGCAGTGCGGCAGGACGACGGCGTGTACGTGGAGTATGATTTGGACGATGAGGACGAGGACTGGTTGGAAGTGCTCAACCAGAACAGGCTGCTGCTCGCTGCAGACAGGTACAGTTCGGTACCATGTGGCGCAGTGCAGTACAGTGCAGTACAGTGCGGTGCAGTGCGGCGTTACGGCGTGGGTACAGTGCGGTGAAATGCCAGTGCAGTGCGGCAGGACGACGATGTGTACCTGGAGTAAGATCTATACGATGAGGATGAGGACTGGTTGGAAGTGCTCAACCAGAACAGACTGCTGCTCGCTGCAGACAGGTACAGAGCGGTACAATCCGCCCCGGTGCGGTACCTTGCGGTACAGCATGGGCATAATGCGGTTCAGTGTGGCAGGACGAAGGTGATTACAACTGGAGGACGACGAGGATGAGGACTGGCTGGGGACTGGCTGGAAGTGCTCAACCAGAACAGATTGCTGCTCGCTGCAGACAGGTACACTGCGGTACAGTTCGGTAGAGTGCTACATCATGCGATCTTACGCTCTTCTGTTGTTGCGTACACGTTCTTTGCAGCTGCCGTTGCAGCTGCTGGGTGCAGGGTGGTTCAGTGCGGTCCTGCCACATTGTTCTAACGTATTCCACGTCATCTCCCCTCGCCACGTCATCTTCCCGTGCCACGTCACCAGGCTGGAGTGGATGATCTATCAAATGGAGCTACTGGATGCGCGGGCGAGGGCCAAGGCAGGGACGGCCATGCTGGCAGGCGCGGAGCAGACAGGTGTATCTGGGCAGGCATCTGGGGGAGTGCGAGTGCCCGTCCTGCTGCAGCAGCAGCAAGCCGTAGATGTGAGTGCTCGCTCTACTGTACTCGTTTTAGGCAAAAACCGGTACAGGTGGTACCGCCAGTACATGCCGTTCCCGTCCCTGCTGCATGTGCATGGGCAGGCTTTGAGAGCGTAGGGGCCAAGGCAAGGCATGACAGCATCTGTGCAGTGCACATCTACTGGCGGTCTTTGAGACGTCTTGATACTGGCGGGTCAAGAGAGAGGAAAAACGGTGGGGGAAGCCCCTTCTGCGATGCAATACAGAACATATTTGCCTTTCTTCCCTTCCTGCTGTATGTGCATGAGCAGGCGTTGAGAGCGCAGGTGCCAAGGCAGGCCATCATCGCTGCAGCGTACGACTACTGGCGGCCGAAGTGGGAGAGGTGGGGGAAACCCATTCTGTGATGCAAAGTACAGCATATCTTGTTCCCTTCCCTTGCACATGCGTGCAGGCGTTGAGAGCGCAGGTTCCAAGGCAAGCCATCATCGCTGCAGCGTACGACTACTGGCGGTCCAAGAGGGAGAGGTGGGGGAAACCCATTCTGAGGCGCCTGCAGCCGTCCCCAGCCATCACAGACACCAATCCGTTCAACGTGTTTCGACCGCGGGAGAGAGTTCACCGCCCCAACACACGCCGGGTAAGTCAGAGGTAGAGTGCTAGAGTCGAACCACCAGGCACCACAGACACCAAGCACCACAGACACCAAGCACCACAGACACCAAGCACCACAGACACCAAGCACCACAGACACCAAGCACCACAGACACCAAGCACCACAGACACCAAGCACCACAGACACCAAGCACCACAGACACCAGGCACCACAGACACCAAGCACCACATACACCAAGCACCACAGACACCAAGCACCACAGACACAAGCACCACAGACACCAAGCACCACAGACACCAGGCACCACAGACACCAAGCACCACAGACACCAGGCACCACAGACACCAAGCACCACAGACACCAAGCACCACAGACACCAAGCACCACAGACACCAGGCACCACAGACACCAAGCACCACAGACACCAAGCACCACAGACACCAAGCACCACAGACACCAAGCACCACAGACACCAGGCACCACAGACACCAAGCACCACAGACACCAGGCACCACAGACACCAAGCACCACAGACACCAAGCACCACAGACACCAAGCACCACAGACACCAGGCACCACAGACACCAGGCACCACAGACACCAAGCACCACAGACACCAGGCACCACAGACACCAAGCACCACAGACACCAAGCACCACAGACACCAAGCACCACAGACACCAAGCACCACAGACACCAGGCACCACAGACACCAAGCACCACAGACACCAGGCACCACAGACACCAGGCACCACAGACACCAAGCACCACAGACACCAAGCACCACAGACACCAAGCACCACAGACACCAGGCACCACAGACACCAGGCACCACAGACAACAAGCACCACAGACACCAGGCACCACAGACACCAACCTCTTCACGAACCATTCTGAGGCGCCTGCAGCCATCGCCTGCCATCACGGACACCAACCCGTTCAACGTGTTTCGACCGCGGGAGAGAGTTCACCGCCCCAACACACGCCGGGTACGTTGCTTGTGGGGGCCAATCATGTGGGGTGATTTCTGAAGTATATGCTCCTTCTGGTGGTGATTTCGCTGGTCATTCCTCCTCCCTTTGAAATGCGTTGAGCGTGTTGTCAGTCTCATCCCTCCCTCACTCCCTTCCCCCCCCCCCTCCCCCCCTCCCTCCCCCCCTACCTCCTCCCTCCCCTTGACGCCCCCTTCTTCCTGTCCTCGGTTTCCACTTGCTTATTGGATATGCTTGTGCTGGGTATGCAGATGCAGCGTAGTTTAGTTTTGAAGCGCCTCAAAACTAGCCCCCTTCTTCCTGTCCTCGGTTTCCACTTGCTTATTGGACATGCTTGTGTTGGGTATGCAGATGCAGCGGAGGGAGAATGACGTGTCATCAAATGAAAAGCTCGTGCCTGTGCATCTTTGCACCTCTCTCCCCCACCATTTCCTTTCCCCCTTGCCTACGAATGTGCAATGGACGCGGTTGTGCTGGGCATGCAGATGCAGCGGAGGGAGAATGACATGGCATCATATGAAAAGCTCGTGCGGGTGCGTTGTTCTTCCCAATCAATATGGTGCCGCAGGCTCACCATACCGTTTTTTTATTATTCAAATGGCGTGTTGCCCATTAAATAGGTTTACTGTGCCTTCAGAAACAATTTCTTTGCCCCATCATCAATGTTGAGCCTTTTATGCCCTTCCATGCCTTATCTTTTTCTGTTTGGCAATTCATCCCCCTTTTTAGCAGGTCCAGAAGAACATTGAAGACGCTTTGCAACTAGCACAGGCTGTTGAGAGAGTAAGTGCAGATTAACTCTCCCTATTTCCAATCATGTGGTTCATCCTATTTCCGAATTTCGCTGGTTGACCGCGTCTCATGCCCTGGTCTTTGGTTACATCCTGGATTCTCGTTTCCCTTGGTTCGCCTTGAACGGTTACTTGCAGAGGGAGGAGAGGAAGCGTGAGCTAATCAATTGTGAAGTGGCTTTGCAACAAGCAGCACTCTCAGAGCGGGTAAGTGGAGCCTGTGTGCCTGTCTGTAGTGTAGGTGTATTTTAAGCGTTGATCCTATGTGAAGTGGCTTTTAAGCAAGTAAGCAGCGCCGTACAAAGCTCTTTAAACAGGTGTGTATGGGAGTTTGAGAGAGCAACAATTAGGTGCCATGGCTTTATGGGTATGTCTACATGCTTCCGTCCTCCCATTTGCACATCTATCTGTTCGTCCATGCATGGCATGGCACATCATGGATGCGTCATGCATGAATAGCTGTCACTGATTCTCTCCCCATCCCAAGCTGGGATGAGGAGAGAATCTTCTGAGGGGCCTCAAAAATTCCTCCCATCCCAAGCTAGGATGGGGAGAGATTTTCCAGCGATTGAGAAAATCAGATGATATTCAACCTTCCTTTTTATGCTGTAAGCAAGGCCAAACCAAAAGTTCCTCAATCCGAACCACAGGAACAGATTCGTAAGTAATCATGTTATTGCATGTGTGCCATGCATTGCATTGTGTTTCATCCCCAGGACATCACAGTGCAACAAGCAGAGGCCCTTGGGATCATCCCAGGCGCTCTTTGAGGTGCCTGAAGAGTGCCCTTATTTGTGTTAACATTGTCCCCTGTTTGCAATCTTCCTCTTCTTGTCTTCATCCCCAGGACATTACAGTGCAGCAAGCAGAGGCCCTTGGGATCATCCCAGACCTCTCCTCGTCACACGCCAAGCCCTTCCCTGGAGCCACGTCAGACGACCAGCAGCAGCAGCAGTACCAGCTCGTACCTCCCCCTGCTGGCACAACCATCACCACCAGCAGCGCCGGCGCCGCTGCTTTTGCCTCTCTAGACCCCCTCCCTCCCGCGAACCACTTTGACAATATCCTCTCAGTCACTCGCCGCCGGGGTTCCGTCGGAGCAGCAGGAATTGCAGCAGCAGGAGCAGGATCAGCAGCGGCAGGTCTGGGGATGGTACCTGGAGTAGCAGCAGGAGCAGCAGGGGGGTGGGCCGGGTGGTTACCAGACGCGCCAACTGTAACCTCAGGTCCGGTAACCGATGCAGTGTCGCCGCTAGACCACCTGCTCCCGCTGCTGAAGAAGAAGAGGCGAAGGCAGGTGGTGTTTCCGCGAGGAGGCCGGCTGAGTCGCGTGCTTCGTAGCGCCCCTCCCCCGGACATTCCCATGCCGTTCGCCCGCCCTCTTTCGCTTGAGCAGTTGTCTGCGATGCATATACAGCCGCCTCTGCTTTCCCACCGGCCCCCACCAGCGTCCCTCTGGGAGTCTCCTGATTCCTTCTGTCTTCCTCCCTTGGGTTTATCAGGGTCGGGAGAGGGAGGGATGGTGGGGGGGAGAGGGGCGGCGGGGCCGAGAGAGGGTGTGGAGTTGAGGGTGCGGGGGAGGATAGGCAGGGGAGGGAGGTTGATATTTGATCGCTGGGATGTGATGGAAGGGCGCCCGCTGGTGGCACCTGTGCCTGCTGTCACTGCCGTGCCTGCTGCCGTGCCTGCTCTCATGCCTGCTGCCGCGCCTGCTGCCATGCCTGCTGCCGAGCCTGCTGCCGTGCCTGTTGCCATGCCTGCTGCCATGCCTGCTGCCATGCCTCCTGGTGCGGGTGCTGCCATGCCTGCTGGTGTGACTACTTCCATGCAAGACACTGGCAAGAAGGATGTGGTACCAAATGCGTCCATGCAGAATGACCTGCAGAGTGACCCTCGGTATGCAGCTAATGACCTGCCTTTGAGTGGTGCTGTAAGGAAGAATCTAACCGACAACGCTGATGCTACGGAGGTCTCCCATTCCCCAGCAGCCGCAGCAGGAGCAGCAGCTGGAGGGATTAATGCTGCTCCTGCTCCTCCTGCTCCTCCTGCCTTCGCTTCTGCTCAGGCCCCAATGGTGCATGCATCTGCACCAGTCAACAGCCCCATTCCTTCCACTGTCCCACCCTCCGCTCCTCACTCAAAGCCCGCTGCTCCTCCTGCATTCACTGCTGCACCTGCTTCCGCTTTCAACCCCGCTGCTGCACCTGCTTCTGTTACTGGTACTGCTGAAACTGCTGGTACTGCTGCTCCTGCTACTGCTGCTGCTGCTGCTGCCGCCGCCACATCCCAATCTGCAGCCGTCACCAACCAACCCAGCACCTCAGCACTTCCTGCGCTTCCACACTCACGTGCCCCTGCTCCTGCGTCTTCCTCTGCACCTACCTCTGCCGCTGCTTCTGCTGCTGCCACTGCTGCTGCTGCTGCTGCTGCTGCTTCTGCTTCTGCTGCTGCTGCTGCTGCTGTTGGTGCCTGGAACCACTAGGCCTATGACAAATGCCAATGGTGCGAGTATAGGGTCCAAACCTGGACCCAATGCTACTGCTGCTGCTGATGGGGTAGCTTATAAACGTTCTAACAGTGGAAAGGCTTTTGGGATCGGCTCCTCTCAACCTGCACTGGATAGCAATGCATTGGGTGCAGGAGTAGCAAGGGGTGGAGTGGGTGTCGGAGGGGTGCAGAGCGGTGTGAGGGTTGTGGGGGGAGTAAGAGGTGGAGAGGGGGGTGTAGGAGTTGCAAGGGGTGGAATGGGTGCAGGAATGGTTAGAGATGGTGCTGCTGGGTCGAAGGCTCCAATCTTGGGGGTGTCAGGTGTGGCTTCACCTTACATGCCACCAAAGCAGCGGCCTCATGCCCAGCGGCCAGATAAAAATGTGTGAATCGAATATCAGGTGTAGCTGATGATGCTGCTCACTGCATTTCAGTGTCTGGATAAAGTTGGGCATCATTTTGTGTACAGTGTACGAATAGTGAGATAGAAGCATTTTTTGCAAAGTGATGTTGAGAAATGTGGTTCTTTTTGGGAGTATGAACGGCTCAGCCTCGATATTGTCACATGGCTCACCTTCTTCGCCCCTCGTCCCTCGGTAGTGGAACCTTTTCCTCTCTCCTCCCTATCCCTCGCCAAGACGCAACACACGCAAGGTCTGCTCGTGCTTAGAATCTGCTCTCGACTAGTGAGTAGTCAACCGGAAAATTGTGTTTTGACTATTTTTGCCAGCTCATGAACCTTATTATCGTAGCGAATGCTGCAGAAACGTATCGTGTTGGACATCCAAGCTGGATGCTGGCCTTTTGACTGTCTGGCTGGTTTGCTGGTAGAATAGCGTGCGACCAGGCAAGTGAGCGAAAGGTCGAGAAATTTCTCATCGAATAAGCCGAAGTTGTAGGACTAGTGTGAAATTCAGCTGAAGGAAAGAGTTTTCGAAAGAGACTAATGAGAACATAGGTCTTTGCTCACGCTGATAGTAGGAAAGGGTCGGGATAATGATGGTACGATAAGGCTGTAGGCGTCCGTGATTGGCGATAAACCCCCGACCTCGTTTTTCAAACCGTACCCAGAGTAAGAGCGACCGCAGCAAGCGATGTGATTGAGTTACGCCTGGTGTGGCAATAGCGGGGGTGACGCTAGGAATCTTGGCGTCGTTATCGGTAAATGCTCGGTTGAGTGGGAATCAGCAGACTGGGCAGAGCAGAGGAAGCATGAGAGGAGGAGGATGAGAACCGAATGAGCAGGATGACGACGGCGAAAAGGGCAGGTGACGTCAGCAAGGGGGAGGAGGGTTCGCGGAAAGTCGTTCCGAAAAAAGTTTCTTTGGAAAGGGGTAGGAGTGAGCGGGAATGGCAGGGGAAGGGTGACATTGGAATTCGACGAGTGGAGAGGCGGACAAAGCGTAACAGCAGCAGCGGTAGCAGCAGCGGCAATGGCAGCAGCAGTAGCAGCAGGAGTAGGAGTAGGAGCAGGGATAGAGTTGATACTGGTGGTAGAAAAAGGGGCAGGAGCAGAAGCCGGAGCAGCAGCAGCAGCAGCAGCAGCAGGAGCAGCAGGGGAGGAAGGCACGGCAAGAAACAGGTTAACGGCAAGAGGAACAGAAGTCGAAGCAGCAGTAGCGGCAGCAGCAGCAAGGGTAGGAGCAGGAACAGGAACAAGAGCAGGAGCAGGAGCAGGAGCAGGAGCAATGAAAGATACTACAGCCGGGGGAAACCGAACGGTGGGCGTGCATTGAGGAAAATTAAAGGCTCTAGCAGCAGCGATGGCAGCAGCAAAGGAAGGGGCAGGGGCAGGAGAAGGAGCAGCAGCAGCAACAGTAGCAGCAGCAGCAGCAGCAGCGGCAGCAGCAGGAAGAGCGGTTGGAGTAGAAGCAGTAGTGGGAGCGATGAGGAGGAGGAGGAGGATAGACGTAGGCCCAGGGACTTAACTGCTATCAGGAGGAAGAGAGAGGGCGACAGGAAAGAAGGGGCAAGGGAACGGAGGAAGGAGCACTCAGGGCTTGCCGCTGGTTCATTGAATCTAGACTTGAAGAGTCAACAGGGATTGTTGGAAAGGGGGGAACGAAAGGTGGCTGGAGTGAGGGAGAAGGAAAAGGAGGAGGTACTTGTTGGGAGGAGAGAAGTTGAGAAGACTAGGCAGGATGGAGTGAGGGATGGAAGTAGGGAGGTGAGAGGAGAAGCGAGAGGTGAGGGGAGTATGAGGAAAGGAGGAGAGAGTGAGAGGAGGGGCGGGGAGAGGGAGAGGAGGGACGGGGAGAGGGAGAGGAGGGACGGCGACAGGGGGAGAAGGGAAGACGTGAGGAGGGGCCGGGAGGGAGAGAGGGACAAGAGGAGAGATGCGCCGCGAGAGGCGATAAAGATTGTTGATGTGAGGGATATAATAGCGTCGTCCCTGCAGGGGATAGATCGGCAAAAGGAGAGGGACAGGGGAAAGGAAAGAAGGGAGAGTAGGGGAGGAGAAAGCAGAGGAGGGGAGGAAAGAAGGGTAGGTACGGGAGAGGAGGGAGGAGAGAGCAGAGAGGGGAAAGGGAGAGAAGGGTTGGGAAGAGAAGGACGCGTAGGAGGGGAGTCAGCAGAGCGAGATTTTCGGAGCAGTGACACGTTTAAGTCGCCTGGAGGGTACTCCGAGCGTCACTGTGATAACAGTGAGAGGGATGGGAGAAGGCGTGGTGATGATAGAGGAGGGGACAGCTTCAGAGGAGGTGGCTATGGTGAGGAGGGTAAAAGGAGGCATCTTTTTGAAGAAAAGCGGTTTGGAGAAAGTAGCAGAGGGCAGAAGGAGGAGAGGAGTCTGGGTGGGGTTAGGGGTGTGTTTTCTCCACAGGAGAGAAGTTTGGGAGGGCAGTCTGGGCGGCAGAATGATGGGAGGAGGGGAGAAGAGAGGAGGGAGTGGAGGGTGGAGGAAGGGGAGGATCGGTGGGAACTTGGGGTTGGTAGGGTGGATGGGAGAGGGGCGGAGGGAGGGGGAAAGGAGAGGGGGAGAGAGGAGGATGTGGGAGGAGAGAGGGGAAGGGAGGAGGGTGGGGAGAAAGAAAGGGGAAGAGAGGAGGGTGGGGAAAAAGAAGGGGGAATAGAGGAGGGTGGGGGAAGAGAGAGGGGAAGGGAGGAGGATGGGGGAAGAGAGAGGAGAAGAGAGGAGGATGGGGGAAGAGAGAGGAGAAGAGAGGAGGATGGGGGAAGAGAGAGGAGAAGAGAGGAGGATGGGGGAAGAGAGCGGGGAAGAGAGCGGGGAAGAGAGGAGGATGGGGAAAGAGTAAGAGGAAGAGAGGAGGGCGGAAGGCTCATGCATGGTCGAGATATTGGCAGATTGAGAGGGCATTCGTTGGAAGACGAGGAAAGGGGGCGTCCTTTGGAAAGAGGGGAAAGGCAGGGGAGTGATGGAGATGGGGTTAGGAGGAAGGCTAGAGACGAGGGAGAGAAGGAAGAAAAAAATGAAGGTAGAACCTCCAGAGGCAGCGAAGAGGAAAGGAGGAGTTTCCGGTCACCTCAACAGGGGGAACGGAGAGTGGGAAGGGCGTGGAATCCTGGAGAGACAGGGGGAGGTGGGGTGTTTGATCGAGGGGTGTGGGTAGGGCGGGGAGGGGGAAGGGTAGAGAAGGAGTCACGCATGGGAGCAGAGAGGGAGGACAGGTGGAGGATGAGGGGAATGGAAGGGTGGGGTTACGGTGGTGGCGGTAGTAGAGGCAGGGGATTTGGACGGGGAGGGAGGGAAGGAGGTCGTTGGGATGGTGGCCGGGATGATGCTGCTGCTTGTGCTGGTGGTGGTGGTGGTGGTGATGGTGGTGGTGGCAGGTGGATGGACAGGAGAGGGGGACGGGGAGGGCGTGGGTGGGGAGAGCGAGGGGGAGGGAGGTTTGAGGGTTCTTCTTGCACTGCTTTTCCTCAGAGTGCCATGGCTCTTGGTGTTGCTCGTGATAGTGCTGTGGGTATCGGCTTTCAGAACAGAAGAATGACTGGAGGGGGAGAGAGGGGACAGACAGAGAGAGGAGGGGCAGAAAGAGGAGGGGCAGAGAGAGGAGGGGCAGTAAGCAACCCAATTTGTAAGGGTGAGACAGTATGGGAAGGCAGTTCGGTTGGCACCTCTAATACCTTTCTCGATGCCCCTCCTGGGTTCGGCCCTCCTGCTTTTATCGCAGCAGCTTATAAGAGAGCTTCAGATGGAGAGGAGATCACACCGGAGGGAGGGGCAGGGAAGCCAGTGGGAGCAGCAGCAGGTGCTGTGAGTGAGAATGGTGAGAGGATACCTGGAGCAGCAAAGGTGTGTACAGCAGAGGGAGGGGGAGCAGGGATTGGAACAGAGATGCAACGAGGGGCGGGTGCAGAAACGGGAGTGGGGATGGGAGGGGCGATGGAAGCAGGGGCGGGAGGAGAGGGGTATGCGGTGGGGATGGGTGCGGAGGAGTGTGATGCGTGGTGCCTTCTGGATGAGGCGCTGGGAGCAACAAGTGGGCCTTTTCCCTTCAGTCACGTTCAGCAGCAGTTTGCAGCAGGGTGAGTGTTTTCAGTCACATTTTCAGTCACGTTTTCAGTCACGTTTTCAGTCATGTTTCCAGTCAGCTTTAGCACCAGTTGGCAGCAGGGTGTGTAAATCATTGCCTTGTTGATCCAAGGTGCCTGATTTGGCGATTTCTCCTTTCTCTCTTACATTTTCCCGCTTTTTTCCCTATCCTCTTCTTATATCGCCATCTTTGTTCGTCCCTCCACCCCTGCAACCAAACCACCCATAGGGAGCTTCCGGACCATATCCTGGCCTACCCGGAAGGCTCGGACGCCGAGCCTATGCCACTGGCTCAGGTGCTGAAAGGGGAAGCTTCTGTGCTGCTTCACTTTGGGGTGGCCCTTCCTTCCGGCTCCTTGCTTCCATCATCCCAGCCACAACAGCCAGCAGTATGGAAGCAGGAACGTGAGCAGCAGCAACAGCCAGCGCAACAGGAGGTTTTTAATGTTTTTGGAGCAGGGACAGGAGTAGAAGGGGCATCAGGACCAGAAAGACCAGGAGAAGGTCGAGGAGGGAGTGAAGCCTCGATTGCACAACCTGCAGCTGGTGCTGCTTCTGTTTCTGGTGCAGTTACCAACACCAATGTTGCTGCTGCTGGAAACGCTGAGACTGTGGATACAGGGGATGCGGGAGGAAAGAGGGACGGTCAGAAGGGGATGGACGTGGGAAAAGGAGGAGAGGAGGAGGAAAGTGGGCTATTTTGGACGTATCTGGGGGAAGACAAGGCACCCAAGGGGCCGTTTTCCATTGTGATGCTGCGATGGTGGCTGCAGTGCGGGCATCTCATGCCCACCCTCATGGTATGTGTGGTGTGGTGTGGTGTGGTGTGGTGTGGTGTGGTGTGGTGTGGTGTGGTGTGGTGTGGTGTGGTGTGGTGTGGTGTGGTGTGGTGTGGTATGCATGGTGTGATTTGATATGCCTTCGATGGAAGACATGGCACCCAAGGGAACGTTTTCAATTGTCATGTTCAGATGATGGTTGCAGTGCGGGCATCTCATGCCCACCCTCATGGTATGTGTGGTGTGGTATGGTATAGTATGGAATGGCGGAGCTCAATATGCATGGAATGGAAGGCAAAACGCCCAAGTGCTCGTTCTACATTGTGATGCTGAGATGAGATGGTGGTTGCAGTGTGGGCGTCTCATGCCCAGATCCAAATCTTTATCCTTATTCCCACCCCGTTCTTCTTGCCTGTCTTCCAAATCCCATCAGTTATCGGACATTCGCAACATGCACGCGCCTCCCATCTCTCTGGGAGTACTGCTGGGAAGACACCCATCTAAGCCACAGCCGCAACCACACCAGCCGCAGGAGCAGCCGCTGCAGCAACAACAACAACAACAGCAGCTGCACAGCCAGCTACTCCCTTCGTCCAACCCTCCCTCGCTCGACTCTATCTTCTCCACCTCTCTATCTCTCGTCCGCACGCGTCTGCATGCCCTTGTGCTGCAATCTCTGCACTGCCCCTCCTTCCTCAACGCTGCTGTAGGCCCGCACCTCACCTCTGCTCTCGCTAACCGCGCCCCTATGCTCTCTGAATCGACTCAAAAGTCGCCCCACCTCACCTCTGCTCTCTCTAACCGTGCCCCTGTGCTCTCACCTGCACAAGCCGTTCCTGCTTCCCCTGCTGCCGCTGCTGGTGCTGCCAGTGCTTCTGCAGCTGCTCCCTCTAGTGCTGCTGATGCGGCTGCTGCTGATGTTGGTGTCGCTGCTGGTAGGGATAGTAATCCTGCTGCCTTCCCCCCTGCGTCTGCTGCTACTGCTGTTGTTGCGGCTGCTTCTCCGCCACCTCTTCATGACCCTCTTACCTCCTCTCATGTGGGAGACTGGAGGACGAGGGTTGAAAGAGAGTGGGGGGCAGCAGGAGAGGTGAGTCGTGAGTTGACTCGACAGTCACCACGTGTGGGAGAGTGGAGGTCGAGGGTTGAAAGAGAGTGGGGGGCACTAGGAGAGGCAGAGCAGGATAGAAAGGCATCGGATCAGCACAGGAGAAGCCTGGGAAAAGGGGCGAGGGCAGACGCATCAAGTGCGGAAACACCGGGACACGAGGAAGAGGTGGATGGGCAAGAGGGAGTGAAGGGGCATGAGAGGATGAAAGGTCATGAGGGAGTGAAAGGTCATGAGAGGATAAAGGGGCATGAGGGGGCTAAAGATCCGAAGCTGTTATTTGAAGAAATGGATTTTGAGTCGCTGCCACCCATTCGAGCAAAGAAACTGCCGACACCCCCCCCCCACCGTCACCATCACCATCCCCCCCACCCCACCTCCACCAGTATCATCGTCAGCACTACCACCACCACTACTAGTCCCTCCTCCCCAGTCGTTTGAGGACCCTACTCCTTTTTCCAAGCCTCCTTTCCTTCCTCCTCTCCATCCTCTCCCTTCATCCCTCCCTGTGCCGCGTCCCCCTCCTCTTCCTCACTCCCCTCCTCCTACTCTCCCTCACTCCCCTCCGCACCACCTTTACTCACCCCCTCCCATCCCCCCGCACTCCCCTCCACCGCTCTCCTCCGCATTGAATCTACTGCAGTCCTCTTCCCGAGGGTCTGAGTGGGGGAGGAGGGTTGCAGCTTTAGCAGAAGCTACCACTGCTAGATTGGCTGCTTCTGAGGGTCGAAGATACAAAATGCGTGAGGAAGAACACGAGCAAGAGGGTCAGCGTAAGCAGAGGGAGCAAAAGCAGCAGCAGCAGCATCAACAGCAGCAGGAGCATCAAGAGGGGTATGAAGCTGGCCTTGAGACTTCGGGACCCCCTGGGTTTGAGACGACTAGAGATTCATTACCTCCTGGCTTTCAGCTGAGAAGATCAGACGGGGCAGGGCAGGAAACGGCGGGAGAGGAGAGGAGGATGGAGGGGCGAATCAGCACAGGAGAAAGAGAGGAGGGAGGGAGTGTGGCAGCAGCAAGGGATGTGGAGAAGGAGGGAGGAAACGAGATGGTGAGGGAACAAGAGAAGAGAATAGATGTGGAGTTAAGGAGGGTTCAGGATAGCCAAGAGCAGAGAGACAGGAGGGAGGAGGAGAGGCACGGAGCAAAAAGGGGTGAAAAAGAAGGGGAAGGGGGTGGAGGGGGAAGCAGAGATAGAGGGGAGCGAGTAAGTGGAGGAAAGGGGGATGACGAAGAAGAGGAGCAGGAGCGAGATGGGAAGGGTGTTAAGACTTCTTGCTCTGGATCCGGTGGCGCAGTTGGAGGGGCGACAGAAGCAAGGGGTGTGTGTGAGGGGGGTGGGAGTGGGAGTGGTGGAAGAATGAAGAAAGTCAATTTAGGAGTTGGAGGAGTAAGTGTGCCGGTAGCGGGAGTGAGTGTAACAGGGGGGATTCTGACAGGGTTGCAGTTGCTGATGGGAGGAGGGAAGGGGGGAGGAGGGGGAATGGTGGGTGGTGGGGCGAAGGAGGAAGCAGTCAAAACAGGAGGAGAGGGAGGCGAACGGAAAGGGGATGGAGGAAGAAAAGAAGAGGCAGGGGAAGGAGGAGGAGAAGCAGGAGGAGCAGGAAGGAATGGAGGTTTAAACGATCAGAAGGGGAGTGTCGGGTGGAGGACAGGGGAAGGGAGAGCAGACAGAAATGGTCTGTTGAGTGTTGCTGACAGCAGCAATGAGAGCGACGGGGATGATAACGTTGAGGGAGGTAGAGTGAGGGAGAAGGGCGGAGTAGGTGAGATGGTAGGAGCGTTGAATGGGGAAAAGGAGGACTTGGGTGAAAATTTGCAGGAGGAAAATGTGCAGGAGAGATGCACGATAGGAAAGCAGACAGAAGGGGGTGTTAGGGGCAGTGTTGGTGATGATGGGAGGAAGGAGAGAGGAGAAGGAGAAAGGGGAGATGTGAAGGAAGGGGAGCAGCAGGATAGAGAAGAGAGGGAGAGGGAGAGGGAGAGGGAGAGGGGGCGGGGAAGGAAGAGGGAAAGAGAGAGGGGAAGGGAGAGGGAGAGGGAGAGGGAAAGGGAGAGGCAGAAGGAGGGTGGGAGTGATAGTGGGCTGGAAGATTTACCTCTCGCAAAGAGACTGGTGCATGGAGCTGGGGTGAAAGGAATTTCTGCTATAAGGGGAGCAGCGGTGAAGGGGAAGAGAGGCGGTTTTGAGATGGGAGGAGTGGAAGGGAGAAGGGGACATGGAGAGGAGAAGGTGTCAAATGCGGTGGAAAAAGAGGAGGGAAGGGAAGGGGGACAGGATCCCTGGTCAATTGGGGGTAGTCAATTTGATGGTGATGCTGCTGCTAGTTCTGCTGCTGCTGATGCTGCTGCTGCTGATGCTGCTGCTGATGCTGCTACTAGTGCTGCTGCTGCTGTTGCTGCTGCTGCTGATGTGCCTGCTGCCTCTGAACCTGCTGCTGCTACTACTGATGATGCTAACGGAGATGTGGCTGCTCCTGCCTCTGCTAGTGCGAATGCTGCTGCTGCTGCCTCTGGTGATGGCGCTGCCACTGCTGCTGCCGCCGCCGCTGCCACTGCTGCTGCTGATGCTGATACTGCTGCTGATGCGTCTGGCAGTGATGTAACTCCTGAGGACTTACAGGCGGACAGCACTGCGAGTGATGACATTGGTGGTGATGCCGCAGGGGTCACATCACCGACAGTACTTAAGGCCTCGGGGGGCTCAAGCGCAGGTGCGATAAACACGGGGCAGTCCCCTTCAAGACACGGTCCCTCTCTAATTCACGGTCCCTCTCCAAGGCACGGCCTCTCCCCATCATGCCACAATAAGGTTGGGGAGTCGGCAAGTCGAGGGACGAATGGGGACTTGTCTAAACTCAAAAAGGGCTCCCCTCACGGTCTCAAGAATGGGCAGATTATCACGGATTTGCATGGTGGCATTGCTGTGAGAGATGGGGATGGAGACAGTCAAGGTTTGACTGGAGATGGAGGAAGGGATGAAGCAAGGGAGGGTGTCAGAGAAGCGGGCGAAGCAAGTGCAGGCAAGAGGGGTTTGAGCGAGAGGAGGAGTGCAGGTGGGAAAAGGAAAGCGGAGGGGATGGAGGTTGAGACTCCACAGCCCCTGTCCGCCCTTCAGACGCTGCTAAGTAGCAGCAGCAGCAAAGCTAGAGTAGCCTTTGAGACATGTCAGAAGGTGGGGCTGGTAAGTAACAGCGTTGGTGGTGGAGGGGTGGTGCTGAGGAATAAGGGGGAAGAAGAAAGGGAGGAGGAGAACGAGGAGGAGGACGGAGACGGAGAGGAGGAGGAAGAGGTGGAGGAAGAGGAAGAAGAGGAGGATGAGGGAGAGGAAGAGGAGAGCGATGAGGAGGAGGAAGACGAAGAGGAGGAAGGGGAGGAGACTGAAGAGGAGGAGGATGGGAGTGATGGAGACGAGGAGGATGTGGAGAGGGAGGGCGGGAGTATGATGGCACAAGGGGTATCAGAGGAGGGTGGAGAGGAGGGGATGGAGGAGAGCGAAGGGCAGGAGAAGGAGGAGTTGCTACTGGGCCGATTCATGCTCAGGGTGAGTGAGTCCCATCCCGCTCTCGCTCAGATGGTTTTTGAGGATTAACAAGTTGACTTCGGAGGATTTTCACAAAGTTAACGAGTCTCGAGTAAAGAAGGGCAGGAGAAGGAGGACGAGTCTCGATTCATGCTCAGGGTGAGCGAGTCCCGGCCTTCTCTCGCTCAGATGGTGGAATCAACATGTTGACTTTTGAGGCTTAACAAGTTAATTCTCTCCTTCCTTGCTTCTTTTCCTACCCTCACCCTAACCCCCCCTCTCCCTTGGCAGGCACTAAGCAGTGGCCAGTGGAGGGAAGTGTCGTTGTCTCTCAACCGCCCGCCTTCCTCTCACTCACAACAGCACCTTCTCCCTCCATCACACCTCCCACGCTCTACATCCATTCTCCAACACTCCTCCCCCTCCTTCACCCCTTCGATCCGCCTGGTCTCTTGGACCAACACAGCTCACCGCCTCTCCTTCCGCTCTGCGCTTCAAACCGAAGCTGCAGCTTTGGCTGCGGAAGGGCTGGACTCCGAGCCTAGGCATGAGGCTCGGCCGGAGGTTCGGCACGTGGCTCGGCAGTCTCTGCAGGTCCCGGCCCAGCTTCCCGAACCTGAGCTGCGTTTGGGGAGTCAGCAGCAGGACGAACCGAAGCTGAGACAAGGGGAAGAGAAAGTGTATGGTGCGGGTCGTGCTTTGATGTGCTTTGAAACGAAACGAGGCCAAGTGGGTGGTGCAGCAGCTGTGGCGACTCAAAAGCCACAGAGGGAGCACGAGCTCTTGTTGATTCGAGGTGTTGTTGCATCTGACCGGAATGCAGCAAAGCAAGGCTTGGGTAAGGATCGAAATCATGGGGAGGAATATAAGCAGAGAGCTGATGCCGATCAGGGGGCAGTGGGTGCTGCAGCTGCTGAAGCATTGGTGCAGAGGGAAAGTGGAGGAGGAGGGGAGAAAGGGTCATGCGATGGGGCAGGAGAGAGGGAGGAGAAGGTAAGAGGAGGTATTGGGCAGGGAAGGAAAGAGAAGGATGAGAAGGGTGAGAAAGGTGAGGAGGTAAGGGGTTGCCTTCCTGGGAGCGTTGAGAAGGAACGGAGGAAGGAGGAAGAGGAGGGTGATGATGAGGAGCAAAGGAAAATGGAGAAGACGGAGGAGGAGAGAGGGAAGAAAAGGGAGGAGGAGACGTGTGAGAAGGGCTCTGAGATGAAAGCAACTGGCTCTTTGTTAAGCCCTCAAAAGGTATCCAATGCGAAAGCGAGGAAGGGCGGTGGGTATAAGGGCAGCTATCTGGACTGGGGTGTGGGGGCAAGTGGAAGAGGAAGCAGTAGCAGAGAGATGGGTGCTAAAACGGCTAGTGGAAATGTCATGGCTAGGGGTGGTGGGGTGGTTGGGGTAAGTCTTGCTGGTGTGGTTGGGGAGAGGACTGCAGGGGCTGCTCTGGTGAAGGTGCAGGGTGATGGAAAGATTGCTTTTATGGCTGCTTTTGAGCAGCCATTGCAGGTAGAGTTTCAGGCAATGAGAAGTGGTGCGCAGGGTATGAGACATGCAAGGGGTGAAGGGAGAGAGAGGATAAAGACGGAGATTTGCGGAGGGGAAGGTCGGAGGGAAGGGGATGGGAACGGTGGGGAGAAGCGAGAGGAGGGAGGGGAGGAGAGGCGGAAAGGAGGAGTGGAGAGCGGTGGGATGGGCAGATGGGGCCCTTCTTACTATCACATGGAACAAAGTGCGTATAGGCACAGTGCAGGTGCAGAGAGGGGTGTGATTGTGGAGAGGGAGAAGCAGGAGGGGAGAGGCGAACGAAGGGAGAAGCGGGAACAAATGGAAGGGGAGCAACAGTCGGGTGTTTCAGCACACAGGAAGGACGATTGGCGGGAGGAGTGGGTGAGGAGGAAGATGAGAGAGACACAGATGGAGATGGAAAGGGAGAGGGGGCGAGAGAGAGAACGAAAGAAGAGGAGAGCGAGGGAGGGAGGAGGTGAGGAGAAGGGCAAGCACAGGAGGAGGAAGGAGAAGAAGCGAAGCAAGAGCAGATGGTTTGCAGAGTGGTCGTCTGATGAGTGCATGGGCGCAGATGCCAGCCAAGGAAGGGGAGAGGAAAGGGGACCTAGTGAAGGTGTAACTGGTGCAAGGGAGGGTGATTGGGAGGAGAAGAGAGAGGAGAGAGATCAGGGTGAGGGGAGCGAGAGTGATTCAAGAGGAGGGAGTAAGGACAGGAGGGGAAAATGGAAGAGGAAGAAGAAGAGAAGAAGGAAGGGTGAGGGAGAAGAGGCGGATGGTAGTGGGAGCGAGGAAGGAGAAAGAGACAAAGAGGAGAAGGGCGAAGCCAGCTGGCGCGTTCCTATTGGCACAGAGCGCCAGCTCATGCGATACCTTCAGAAAGCCTCTGCTGGTTCAATCCATGTTTCAGAAGCTGGTGCTGGTGCTGGTGCTGGTGCTGGTGCAGCGTCTGCCACTGCTGCTGCGTCTAGAAAATCAAAGTCGTCTGAATCGGTTCCGGTCCCACATGCAGCTGCTGCAAGGAGAAAGAAGTCGTCGTCTGCTGGTGTACATTCAGTTGCAGCGAGGACGGAGAGGCAGCTTATTCTGGCTACCAGACAGGCGGAGGAACAACCAGGTGTGCTGCAAGGTCAAGGGAGGGGGGAGGAGGATGAGGTGGAGAGGGAAAAGGAAGAGGCGGAGCCGGAGGAGGAAGATTATGCGATGAGGGATGAAGAGGATGTGAAGAGAGAGGAAGGAGATGGTTTTGAGAGAGAGCAGGAGGGGAGGGTTTCTGTGTTGGGTGATGGTCATGGGGAGGGTGAGGGGATGCATTGGGAAATGGAAGGAGAGGAGGAAGAGGAGGAGAGGAGGAAAATGCGGAAGAAACGGAAGCTGGAGGAGAGGCAGGAGAGGAAGGAGCGGAGGGAGCAGGAGAGGAGGGAGAAGAGGGAGAAGAGAGAGAAGGAGAAGCGGGAAAAGGAGCGGCGAGGAAGCGGGAAAAGGAAGCGGAGTGAGGGATCGACGTGTGCGCGTGTCGAGTGGGGCGGATGGGAGTGGAGAGAACACGTGAAACAAGCAGCACAGAGAGAGGCTCTAAAGCAGCGTGCCGATGCATACTATAAAGGGGATAGAGGCGAGGGCGCAGGAGAATGGGAAGCAGACGGCACAGGGCCGGGCGCAGGAGCGTCTATGCGCACACCTCGCCTGCTCTCCCGGGCTAACCTTTCCCAAGCCAACCTCCCAGGTTCCTCTTCCCGCCTCCCGCTTTTTGCTTCTGCTGGGGGTGGTGGAGTGGGGTTGCTAGGAGGAGGAGCAGCAGTAGGGGAGGAAGCATGGGAGGGGATGGGCGCAGGCACTAGCATGGGGAGTGCAAGGAGCAGCAGGGCGCTGCTGAGGCAGCTAGCGGTGGGTTCAGAGGGGTTGGAAGGGGTGAGGTTCAAGCAGCTGAAGGGGAGGAAGAAGAACTTGAAGCTGGTGCGGAGCAGAATACACGGGTGGGGGCTGCTGTCCCTGGAGCGCATTGAAGCAGGCGACTTTATCATTGAATACACGGGGACCATCATTCGGCGATCGGTGAGTGCACTGAGATGGGATGATTGGTGTGTGCTGAAAGGTTTGAAGGTTGGCAGGTTGAAAGTAGCCGGATACACGGGTGGGGGCTGCTGTCCCTGGAGCGCATTGAAGCAGGGATGACAATCTGTCGATCAGTGAGTGCTCTGGGATGTGTGGGGAGTGCTGATTCTTGAAAGGTTTGAATGGTTGGAAGTTTGGTGCGGAGTCGGATACACGGGTGGGGGCTGCTGTTTCTGGAGCAGATCGAAGCAGGGGACTTTATCATTGAATATACCGGCAACTTTTGAGTCGCCTCAGAAATCATTTGCCGATTGATAAGTGCACTGGGATGCGGCTGGGATTGTGGTAGTATAGAAACCCATGGGGGAGGGTAACCATGCGGGAGAGGATGTACGAGACAAATGGCATCGCCAACAGCTAACTTCACATTCAACTTCTCCCCTCCCTCCTCCACTCCCACATGCTCGCACTTCCATCAGATGTGTGAGCTGTGAGAGAGAACATACGAGGCACATGGCATTGGTAGCAGCTACTTTGCAACCACAAAACTGCACTGTGAATTCAATCTCTTTTTAATTCAACAATCATGCACCAAACCAACCCAACAGGTGCGAGAAAGGATGTATGAAACAGATGGTGTTGGTAGCATCAGCTGACAATGCGACTGTGAACTCACACCCTCTCTTTCTTTCTCTGCATTCGTGCACCCATCTAACAGGTGTCGGAGCTGAGAGAGAGAATGAACGAGGCAGATGGCAATAGCAGCAACATCCAACCTGCACTGCAACCGTGCAACTGTTCTGGAACTTACCTCCTTCTCATTTCAACACCCACCCATGCGCCCACACACACACCCACCCAACAGGTGTCGGAGCTGAGAGAGAGAATGTACGAGGCAAATGGCATTGGCAGCAGCTATCTGTTTCGCGTGGATGAGGATGTGGTGGTGAGTGGTGGGGGTGGAGTGAGATGTGGTGGTGAGTGGTGGGGGTGGAGTGGGATGGAGTGGGATGTGGTGGTGAGTGGTGGAGAGACAGTATCTTTTGTCATTTCTTTTTGAATCAATGGTGTGACGGATTGAGCATGGTATTGTGTTTTTTAAGCGGATTGTGAGCCTACCTTCATAATCTTGATTGATTGTTTAGAAACATTCAAAGAGTAACCTTAAAAGCAGCTAGGCAAACACTTCTGCCCCCTCACACCCATCAATGGTAAGGGCACATGAAATTACAGCTGATTCTCTGATTCTGCCTCCCCATCCCTCTCCCCTTACTGTGCTCGCTCATGCAGGTGGATGCCACTCGCAGCGGTGGCCTCGCTCGATTCATCAACCACTCGTGTGATGTGAGTCTATTCCTCTTTGCACCTCAAAAGTGTCTCGAAGAAATAAATTTTCCAAGTGTCTAGTAAGGTATCAGAGACCTGGTACAATAGACATGGATGGGAAGGGTGGTAGTGAATAATGTGTTGTGTTGTGTCTCAACTTTCTTTACAAATAGTGAAGGAGGCTTATGAGACGTAATGCGCCACCGCTCTTCCTCCAAATGTTAACAAAATCTCTTCTGTTTCCTCTATCCCCTTCTCCAACCCTCCCAGCCCAACTGCTACACCAAGGTGATAGTAGCGGATGGGCAGAAGCATGTGGTGATCTACTCCAAAAGGAATGTTCCTTCCTCACTTTTCACCATTTCGCCCATTCCCATTCTCGTCCCCCACTTCGTTCTTCCCCCTCCACAATAGCCCAACTGCTACACCAAGGTGATAGTAGCGGACGGGCAGAAGCACGTGGTGATATACTCTAAGAGGGTGATTCCTTTCCACTGTTCCCATGCGCCTCTCTTCCTCTCCCCCCCCCCCCCCCCCCCCCCCCCCCCCCCCCCCCCCCTCGCCAGCCCAACTGCTACACCAAGGTGATAGTGGCAGATGGGCAGAAGCACGTGGTGATCTACTCCAAGAGGGTGATCCAAGTGGGCGAGGAACTGAGTTACGACTACAAGTTCCCCATTGAAGACGATGCGAAGATCCCCTGCCTCTGCTTGTCTAGAAAGTGAGTCCCCTGTGGTTTGCCCCTCAACGTTGCTCCAATGTGCCTGGTTTTGGTCGTCCTTGCCCTTCCCCATCATTCAAGCGGGGGAGGAGCTCAGCTACGACTACAAGTTCCCCATTGAGGACGACGCCAAGATCCCCTGCCTCTGCCTCTCCAGAAAGTGAGTCTCCCCTCTTGCACACCAAGCGCTGCGTGCACCTGCTTTATGTCGGTACCTCTCAAAGCTTCTCCGATTCTGATTCAAGCGGGGGAGGAGCTCACTTTCGACTACAAGTTTCCCATCGAAGATGATGCCAAGGTCCCCTGCCTCTGCCTCTCCGAAACGTGAGTATCTTGTGGTCTGGCCTGCTGCTTGCTCCACTTGGTGACTATAGAGTCGACCCAAAAGTCACCCAGAAAGTGAGTAATTTGTGGTCTGTTCTGCTCCTTGCTCCACTTGCACAACTTGTGAGTCGGGTGGGGGAGGAGCTCAGTTACGGTTACACGTGAGCTTCTGCTCTGCTTCTCAAAGAGATGAAACCAAAATTGCCGGCGCGGAAGTCAAACGTTTGCTTTGTGCACCAACGCCTGTCGCTCCGGCAAACTGGTTGGGGAAGCGATAAACCCAACCAGTTTGCCTATCACACTGGTGGGGATGGATGTGTGGATGTGTGGATGTGTGGACGTGCTCTGTCTCAGTAAGTGAGAATATGAGCAAACTTTTGAGTCGACTCAAAAGTCACCTTTGGTGGGGACGGATGTGTGGGTGTCACAGTAAGTGAGAATGTGAGCAGCAGCAGGTGTAATGGATCGTGGTATGCCTAGAAGGAATATACGCGGCTGCATTTTGAGAGTCCCGTCATGCGCTGCCGTATTTTGTTTCCATCTTTGTTTTATTTCATCTATGCTTCGTCTTTGTTTCATCGTGCCTTGCAAATGTGAAATTTTGTAAGTTTCAAATGTTACCATTTTAAATCTCAAGCGGTATCCATCCATCAGCCCACCCACTTCTTCCCCCTTCAACCTACTTCATCCACTTCGCACCTCCCCTGTTTCATGTATGTTGAGTTTACTTTTGGGAATTCTTAAAAGTAAACTCAACATAGCCCACTTCTTCCCCCCTCAACCTACTTCATCCACTTCCCACCTACCCTGTCCCACCCTTCCATAATCCATACCACCAACCCCACTCCAGCAAATCCCAAAACCTCTAGCAGATAATCTTTTAGAATTCTCAAAAACAATCTGCTTCATCCACTTCCCACCTCACCTGCCCCACCCTGTCATGCCACCAACCCCACCCACTCCACGCCCTCTCCTCCCACCCATTCCGTGCTCCTCTCCCAAACCAACCCTACCCGCACCACCCCGCTTTCTTCTCCTCTCCTTTCCTCTTCCTCCCACCCATTCCGTCTATGCTCCTCTCACAGGTGTCGAGGCTACCTCAACTGATTGCGTCTCCACTTCTCGCCCCTCCAGCAACATTTGACATCCCCACCGATCTTCACATGGTGTTTGGAATTCGACCACAAGCTTTTCAGAACCTCTATCTCTCCACAGCAACGCACATGCACTGCAAGCACTCTCCAAAAAATAGCATTTCGAGGCCGATGCTTTTTGTTCAGCTGACTTCCTGTGCATTTCTGTGGCTGCCAGCAGCAGCAGCAGCAGCAGCAGCTTTTTAGTGTCTGTATACTCATACCGGAAGCTCTGGGAATCACTGGGACGCGCTGAGAAACGTTTGAGGAGCATTGGTTGTAGTGTAGTCTGTCTAGGGCTCCGACACGCTCCAACAGCACTTATATTCAGCAGCACACTTGGTACCGTACCGTACTTGCGTTTTACCAAACGCCGTGTTTTGAGGCGAGCAACCCAGTGCAAGTACGGTATCGGTACTTTTGGGAGTCCTCGCCACGCCATGGCTGTTGTGTCAGTTGGCCGTACTGCTGACAAACAGGTTTTTGGAGCAAGAGAGAAAACAGCTCAGTCAGTTGCTCACACCAAGAGTCAATTCTCATCTGAAGGTGTTGCTCAGCAGAGAAAATTCTCATTCCCTGTGGCTTCCTCGGCTTTTGATTCAAGACAGGACAGGCGATGCAACTGCATTGGCAGGAGAGAATGGAAGAAGGGTCCATGACCTTCCATTGCAGCAAATGGATTGTCACAGTACAACTGACTGAAAGGGAGTAATGGCTGCAGCGTCGCCGACTTAAGAAGTTAATGACAGCTGCATGCGGCCATTAACAGAGTGGTGCTTTGGCTTGCAGCCAGCCCCCACCCCAGCGGAGCACCACTATGTTAAAGGCTTGCGACCATGTCTGCTATCTATGATTAACTGTTGCACCGGGCCGGACACAGCCTAAGATTGACAACCGCCATCCGGCAGGAGCAACACTGACTTTACCGTATCGCCCCGGATATAAGCGCCGTCCAATTAAAGGCGCCGGCGCTTCTATCTGGAGCATGGCGCTTATGGCCGGAACTCGATTATAAGCGCCCCCCCTGTGAAACCCTGATTTATTATAAGCGCATCCATAATATTATGTTTCAATCCTGATTAAAGCGGTAACGAGTTTTGAATTTCAAGCGAGTCAGCTGTCAAATGCTGTAGCCTATAGTGAGGTTTGTCTTAGGGGGTACAAAACTTAGGGTTAGCTATATGTACCCCAACCAACATCAATGCATCATCCATTCTTCATTCTGACATGGTATCAGTTAGGTTAGGATCCTGTGGGATCCCGTTCCGCCGTTCTCCGTTCGTACCACCCGAGCCTGATCCTAGCTCTCGTTCGTCTCCTTCTCGTTGTTACCGAGCCTAGCGCCGAGCCACGCTCTCGTTCGTATCGTTCCAGCTGTTACCGAGCCTAGCAACGACCCACGCTCTCGTTCGTATCGTTCCAGCTGTTACCGCCCCCCCGTCGCGTCGCCTTCCCCCCCCTCGAGACGCGCCCGTCCCTTTCCCCCTGTCGCGTCGCGCCCGCCCCTTCCCCCCGTCGCGTCGCCCTCCCCCTGTCCCGTCGCACCCGCCCCTTTCCCCCTGTCGCGTCGCCCTCCCCCTGTCCCGTCGCTCCCGCCCTCTCCCCCCGTCGCGTCGCCCGTCCCGCAACGCCCGCCACTGTCGCTCGCGACCGCGCTCGTCGCCGCCGCGCCTGCCGCCGTCGCCCGCCCCCTGCGCGCCTCGCCGCGGCCCCGCCGTCGTCGCCCGCCGCTGCGCGCGTCGCCGCTGCGCCCCCTGCCGTCGCCCGCTGCGCGCGCTGCTGGCCCCTGCTGCCGAGCGCGCTGCCATCGCCCGCCGCTGCGCCCGTTCCCGTTCCCCGCTGCTTAGTCCCCTGTTACCTCCCGCTGTCACGCCCGCTGTGGCGTCCGCTCCTCCCCTGTCCCAGAGTACCGCCGAACCCTAATTTGCCTCTCACCTACTGCTGTCCCCTCCCTCTCCGTTCGCGTTCGTTTTCACTATGGCGACTCAGCGTGTCCTTCGTTTCGACGCTGACGGTAGACCTCTTGATTTTTCCGTCTGGCTTCTTCGTGCTCGCCGTCTGTTAGAGAGTCAGGTCCAGGCAGGCGAGACCCTCTGGGCGCACGCTACTGGTGCCCTACCTGCGCCCCCCGACCCTACGCCTTTAGGACCTGCCCCTGACGACGCCGCTAGAGCCCGCTTTGCCACTCAGCGAGCTGACCAGACGGCTTGGACGTCACGTGACGCTGCGGCCTGCATCGCGCTCAGCAGCCTCCTCCCTGAGTCTGAGGAGGTTCACTTCACTCAGGTTCGCACCGCTGCTGAGTACCTCACTGCGATTAAGGCCCGCTACTCTACTCCCGCTGCTGTCTCTCTTGGCCGCCTGTTCCTCCCGTTCCTGTTTCCTGACCTAGCGTCTTTTGAGCGCTCTGCTGACTTGATCGCTCACCTCCGCTCGCTCGACGCTAGTTACCGCGCTGCTTGCACTGAGGCACAGCTTGCACTGCTTCCTCCCCCTATGGCGATTACTATCTATTTCATCGCCACTAGCCTCCCTGACCGCCTTGCCTCCGTTCGCGACGCGCTTCTGCTGAAGCACCCTAGTGAGCTCACCGTCGAGGTCCTTGAGTCTGCACTCAAGGACGTCGAGAGCAACCTTCGCTCGGTAGCCGCTGCCTCTGGTGCTGTGCCCCCCCCACTCTTCCACGGGTGCACAGTCCCGCAGTTACCCACCTTTACTGCCTCACTTGCCACTGCCGCTACTGACGCGACTGCAGCTGCTGTTACGACTGCGTCGCGGTCCCGCGGTAGGAGTGGCAAGAAAGGCGGTTCTGGTGGTGGTAGTGGAGGTGGAGGCGGAGGTAGTGGAGGTGGCGTTGCGCCTGGCGGCGGTGGAGGTTCAGGGCCTGGAGAGGCGCCTCGTGCAGTGACTGGTGACTCCACTGCGCCTGCTGGTGGTGGCGACGCCCGAGTTCGTCAGTCGCCTCCTGTACTTCCTGCCCCGGTTGGTGGAGCAGCGGCGTGGTACCAGCAGCCCCTCTCCTCCTAGCAGCCTCAGCAGCAGCAGCGGCAGCAGCTGGCTCCAGGGTCGGGGCTGCGTCAGACCCAGCGCGGTGCTGCTTACACTCCCTGCACCTACCAGGTTCTGACAGGCACTCGTCGTGGCCACCCTTGTGGCCGGTTTCACCCCCCTGGTCAGTGCTTTGCTCAGCTCACTGACACGGTTCGTTTGGTCTACGGGGTTGGTGCTCCTGCCCCTGACTGGCTGCCTCTTGTTCAGCGTTACGGCTCCGCTCTGTGGGGCATGTCTGCTGAGCAGTTAGTTGATCTGATTGGTAATCCCCATGCTATGTATGCTGTTGTTGACTCTAGTGTTTCTGACTCTGTTTACTCTGGTGTTGTTAGCTTAGGTGCTAGCCTTGCTCAGTTGCCTGTTGCTAGTGTAGGTTCTTGTGTAGACTCTAGTCCAGCGGCTACCTCAGAGGACGGTTCGCTGTCGTTCACGCTGGACTCTGGAGCCTCTCACTGCTTCTTTCGTGACAGCACGACACTTACGCCTCTTCCTGCGCCTGTTTCTGTGGCGCTGGCTGATCCCACTTCGGGACCAGTCACCGCGCGTCACACTACCACCTTGCCGTGTCCGGCTGCTCCTTCTGGGTCTCTCACTGGGTTTCACGTCCCCTCGTTCTCCCGGAACTTGGTGGGCGTGCGACCCCTCGTGAGTCAGCACGTGGGTGTGTGGTTTGAGCCTTCTGGAGAGACTGCGGTGTGTGTTGACGGGGACTCTTACCAGCCCCTCGCCACTTTTGCTGCTGAGCCGGGCTCCGGTCTCTACACTCTTCACACTGGCCCGCGCGCTCAGCAGCGACTGCAGCAGCAGCAGCAGCAGCCGCAGCCGCAGCCACAGCCGCCCCTCCTGCCCCCGGCCCCTGTTTTGCCCCCCGTTCGAGTCCTCGCGTCTCACCAGGTTGCTCCGTCCCCCCAGGTAGCTGTGTCTTGTCAGGTTCCTCCGTCTAGTCCGGTCGCTGCGTCGTGCTCCTGTCGGTCGCTTGCCCACCCCACCGTTTTGTGGCACCACCGGCTGGGGCACCCTTCTCCTCCTCGTCTTCGCGCTATGTCTCGTCAGCGTCTTGTCTTAGGTCTCCCGCGTGTCTTGCCGTCGCTGCCACCCCTCACTCCTCCTCCCTTCGTCCGGCCACCGAGCCTTTTGAGACGCTGCACTTGGACGTCTGGGGCCCCTCTCCTCGCCCTGGCCCTGAGCGTGAGCGTTTCTTTTTGGTGGTCGTTGACGACTACTCCCGCTACACCACAGTGTTCCCCCTGGCGAGGAAGTCTGAGGTGACTTCTACGCTGATCAGGTGGTTGCTTACCACCCAGGACACTCGTGGTCGTCGTGTCAGCTGTCTCCACTCCGACCGCGGGGGCGAGTTTCGCTCCGGCATTCTCGCTGGATTCTGTCGCGAACAGGGCATTCGTCAGTCCTGGACGCTTCCGGAGTCCCCACAGCAGAATGGGGTTGCTGAGCGTCGCATAGGCCTGGTCATGGAGATTGCCCGCACCTCCTTGACTCACGCCCGTGCCCCCCATTTCCTGTGGCCATACGCGGTCAGGTACGCCGCGCACCAGCTGAACCTCTGGCCACGCGTCTCTCGGCCGGAGGCTTCACCGACCAGTCTTTGGACAGGGTCCCCTGGTGTCGCGTCGAGGTTTCGTGTCTGGGGGTGCTTGGCTCTTGTCCGCGACACCTCCGCGGACAAGCTCTCGCCTCGCGCCGTTCCTTGTGTCTTCCTTGGTTTCCCTGAGGACTCCTCTGACTTCACCTTTTACCACCCTCCCTCTCACCGGTTCTTTGACTCCCGTGACGTCCGTTTCGAGGAGTCCACCCCCTACTACGTCAGGTACCCCAGTCGAGGTCTCCCGGTCCCTCCCCCCCCTCTCTTCCTGACCGCCGCTCCCCCGCCTGCTCCCCCGGTACAGCCTCCCCCCCCTGGTCCAG